CATGTTACTCTGCAGTGAGTTTTCTAAAATGCAAACCGAATCCTATCTCTACCTGTCTCTTTTATATTACTTATAGCTGCTTTTTGAATCAGTCTTATATTCACTCCTTCTGGGAGGTTTCTCTGACCTTCTAAATATGCAGTGGTTGCCCCTTGGATATGTTGCCATAGCACTGCTTTCTCACCTGTTACAGTGCTTACCCCACTATGGTGCGTTTTGTGGTTAACTTGTTTCGCTTTTGTACCTTGAGCACCTGTCACATAGTTGGCTTTTAGTAAATATTTGTGGAGTGAATGAACGATGGTATCAATCTGAAATATTTCCTGGGCAGCTAAAGCTCAGTCAAAAGTGGGAAATAGGCCAGGCAGGGTGGCTCATGCCTGTAATCCTAGCACTCTGGGAGGCTGAGACGGGAGGATCGCTTTAGGTCAGGAGTTCGAGACCAGCCTGAGCAAGAGCAAGACCCCTTCTTTACTAAAAATAGAGAAAAAATTAGCCAGGCAACTAAAAATAGAAAAGTGGGAAACATTTCTTGTATGGAAAGAATTTGTCTTTTGGTATTATAGACTTTAAGTACTTTGATATAGTTTCCAGTAAGTTTTGATGAGTTTAATTTGTCTCATATTGCCCAGGTCTGAAAGCTGGGGGCTGGTGATTCAGATTTTCGAAAAAATATATTTTAAGCCAATTTCATTTTATATGGATAGATGACATTTTTTTTTATGTGATATGGGTCATGTGCTAGACTTTTAAAAATACATTAAAAAGTTGTAGATAGGGCCATTTCATTATTTTCTACAGTTTACCAGTATCTTGTATTCATTATTTAAAACAATTCATAGTCCTTTTATTTTAAGGGAAATCTTATGATGAGGTTCTATATAATCCAAGAAGAGTTATTTTTTTTTGGGGGGGGGGAAAGAGATACATTTTGGGATGTACATATTGGGATTGGAGTTTGTAGGGGCAGAGGCTTTGGAAAATCTTTGTGCTTTTAGCATAGTCTTTAGCACAGTGGGTGCTTTATAGCTAGTAACTTCTTTCATGCCACTCCTTCATCTGTTATACTGTGTTTCCCCGAAAATAAGACAGGGTCTTGTAGTTATTTTTCCTCAAGAAGACACCCTACGGCTTATTTTCAGGGGATGTGTTATTTTTTTTAAGTATGGTACAACAATCTACATTTATTCAAATATAGTTAAGTTGTCTTCTTCTGGAACATCATCATAACTCTCCAGACCCCGAATTCCATCATGAATTTCTTGCGACTCTATTTTCTTTAGAACCATTGGCCCCAATCTCTCATGTTGAGCAATAGAGCTCTCATGGGGCAGATGAGAAGGGCTGCTCATCTTCTCTACTGCTCCGCGACGAAATGCATGGGTTGTACAGATAAACTGCGTAGCCACGCCCATCACTAGGTCTTATTTTCGGAGTAGGGCTTGTATTGCGCAAATGCTTAGAAATCCTGCTAGGGCTTATTTTATAGATAGGTCTTATTTTTGGGGAAACACGGTAGTTCCTTTTATACGCAGCCCAACTTCATTTGTCAGACATGGTTAGCATTTCTGCAGTATTGTCTCAGAATAAAATAACCTTTTTTAAATTGTGGTCACCTCTTGTAGTGGCAATAGTGTTTTAAAATGTGAATGGTGGGAGATTTGAGGTAGGAGTGGGAGGAGAGCCCAGGAATCTCTGAACAAAGTTATTTGATTTTACATACTTGGCTAATGGAGAGTAAAGCCAACTTTTAATGTGTTTTTTAGGTATTTAGCACACACGTGTATTGATTGATCAGGACCAGTCATTACTTAATGCCTAGTGCATAGCTTACATACTTGTAGGTGATGTATTCTGTAATAAAGCTTACAAATAATGGATCCATATATGATCCTTATTTTTATTCTGGAGTTACCAGTAATGGAGTTTGAAAGGGAGAAAATGGCTGTAAGTTAGGGTAAATTAAAATACTGAAACAGAAGAGCAAAACCTCAAGTTTGGAAATTGCTCAGATTTTAGCAAAATTGTGTGTTTGTGTGTGTACATGTGTATGTATTTTGTGTTCCCTGAGAAAGAGACTTTTATTTGGCAGTGGAGCTAGAGAAAACCTTTACAAGTTTTACAGAAAGCCTGCTATTTTGAATCCCCTCAATATTAGTATCTTCCACGCTGACCCTGGCTTTGCTACAAAGAGGGTGGAAGGGTAGTTTCTCTACAATGAACTTTACTCTTAACCACTTGCAATGTTAAAACAGATGAAAATAATATAAGCACATACATTTTGGCAGTATTGTTGAGTTCTGGTTTACCTGTGATACACTAATCTAGATACATGAAGAAAGATACAGTCGACCCTTGAACAACATGGGAGTTAGGGGCACTGAGCCCTATGTAGTTGAAAATATGCCTATAGCTTTTGACTTCTCCAGAACATAACTAATAGCCTACTATTGACTGGAAACCAGTACAAACAGTTGATTAACACAACTTTGTATGTTATATATGTTATATACTATATTCTTAAATTAAGCTAGAGAAAGGAAAATGTTATTAAGAAAATGATAAGGAAGAAGAAAATGTTTACTATTCCTGAAGTGGAACATCATAAAGCTCTCCATTCTTGTCATCTACACATTGAGTAGGCTGAGGAAGAGGAGTGATTGAACTTGTCTTAGGGGTGGCAGAGGTGAAAGAAAATCCGAGTATAAGTGGACCTGCGCAGTTCAAACCTGTCTTGTTTAAGGGTCAACTGTACTTAATTTTCTTGCATCGTGTCCCATTTTTCTTAGGATATTACCCATCAGTGTGTCCATTATTGGGTCAGTTTATTTAGATGTGAGTTTCATCCTCTTGTGAAGATTGCCTTAAGTGATTTTGAAAGCCTTCACTTTGGCTTTCAAAAACCTATGAGTAAGAAATAGGATGAACTGAATCCTCTGATCTTTCTGTCATGACTCCTAAAATATCTGATTTCTGACACTTCATAATATGTCAGAAAGACTGTACCTAGTAGTGTAAAAATCGAGGGGGATAGCTGTTTATATTAAGTTTATGGTTTCACATTGAATATAATGTTGACTATAATTAGGCAAACTTACTCTTTGCTTTCATGAGCAACTCCCAACTTTGAACTTAAAACACTAAGTGCACAGCTAGAAAGTTTTGGCTTATTAAAAAATATATCATAATTCTAAAATTGTCCAAATGTTTTCTAATGAGGCTAGAAGGAGATGACTTTTTAAGATGCAATCTTATGTATATTTAAAATGTACATGCACCAGAATTCTTAATCTTTAATAAACATAGGCTTCAGCTACAAATAATTATCAGACAGAAATCTGTCCTTAATTGTCATTCTTAAATTTAAATACATGTAGGTGCAGGAAATCATCTATCCATTTAACACACGCAAATTGGGGGCAGTCAGGAAGGAAATCTCTTAAAGTAGAACTTCGTTTTTGTTAAGTGAAATTATGCTCTCATACTGCTCTTTTATTTGTTAAATACTTAGGATAATTTTAGTAAGTCCTTTTAGAAAGGCAGACTGAAAAGAAACACATTGAGTTTTTGCTCAAATACTGTAGCAGAAAAGTTAGTATAATAAAATTTAAGAAAATATTCTTTAGTTCTAGAAATTAGAAATGCCAGGAAAAAATTAGAGGGCATGATTTTAAAATCTTAGGATAAAAAAGTACTATTGTTCAGTTTGGAAGCTATTTAAAATCTATTTGAAATTTCTTTTAGAGTCTTGGAAATTCACAGAGAGAATATGAAAAGCAGGTTGTCTTGTACAGTATCCGCAATCAGTTACGGTATAGAAATAACTTAGGTAAGTAGAGACATTTTTACACTGGGGTGGAAATGACTATTGACACTTAATCATTTTCGTAAATCGATCCTATCTTTTCAATACATATTTCATAGCACTGAAATTATACCATGTACAAACTTTAAGAAACTGTATACTAAACCATTCCATCTAACAACAATTTGTATTAGCAAGTAGATTTTTCTTTCTAATTCTGATAACAATTATTTTTTAGAATTCTGCTTATAGATTTATTTTACCTTTAAAATATTAATTCAGATGTTTTCTTTTTGCCTAAAGTGAGGAAATATGCCAGAAAAGAAAAAGTACATTCATTCTTAATAATTTTTGGCTTTGAGTTTTGTTTTATCTCCATAAAATTTCCAAATAATATAACTTTAATGAAAAACTCTGCAATAATTGGAACAAATTGTAAACATAGTTGGTTTCATGATTTTTTTTTCCTTTTTAAAAATATTTGCTTTTTATTTGTTAGTTTGGTTCTGTGTCCCTGCAAGACTTTCCCTCTGTATTGGTCTTATTTGAAGAATAATATTTCAGAGAGAGCTTTTCTGCATAATTTTTCATGAAAGTCAGAGGGCTTTTTAATTTAAAAAATAAAACAAAAGCAAATAATTTTTAAAAACAGACTTCACTGAAAACTAGCATTTAGTTTGGCTATCCTGTAAAGCAATATAGTAAGGAATTTGATGAATTCTAGCCTATGTTTTATACCTTTTGGGTGGGTTATGCTTCTTTTCTCATTTGATAAGAATTATTTTCTACTTGTCTGCACTATTATACATTTTACTTACATACTCTGAAGTCTGTTTCTTGTGGTATAATTGTTTCTTTGTTTCAACTTAGAATCTTTTATTTATTGTCTTCTAAATTTTTTCTGAATTACTATTGGTTTGTAAAGTATTTCTACTTACAGTTAACATGTAACCATAAGAAAACAAACAAAAAAACTGGACAATTTCCCTCTTTCCCACAGTTAAACATGTCAAGAAAGATGAACGCAAATACTATGAGGAACTACTAAAGTACAGTCGAGATCACCTCATGCTGTACCCTTACCATTTATCAGATATCATGGTGAAGGGCCTGAGGATAACACCATTTTCATACTATACTGCAATTATGGAGGTGCGTTTACAGTGTGGGTGAACCATATGGAATGGGATGGGACTACATGTCAGATACTCTTAGCAGATGATTCTGAGCTTATAGAATAAAAAGGACTTCTGGTTACAAATTAACTGTTTGAGCTACACTTGTACAAGCAGTTGTCATTATTGATGTTTTCACATGGTATCAGTCCTTTGTGCTATTGTAGCATTGATCAGTCATTTATGCTAACAGACTCCATATAAAAATTTATTGCTTTTAACATGGTTAACGTTAAAAAGTAGGTGATGGAATTGAACATTAAGCTCAGAGAAACTTAACTGTGCACTAACTGTATAAAGAATAAATGATGACATAGACCTGACATGACATAATACAAGTGTCAGAAAAAAGAAATGTATTAGTAGTCCTGGTTGTTAATCTCTTTCTGTAATTACTAATTTTTCTTAGCCTTTTTCCAAAGGTTTTTAGGCTTGTGTTGAATAACTTTAATTCTAGTTATATACTATTTTTAAGGAAGTTTTATGAAAAGATTGGCAATATTTATCTAGTATTCATTTGCTCCTTAATTATGTTTGAGTGTTCCTATTTTGGGCATACTAGCCATGTGAAGAGCAGGGAAAAGCCTAGAACTAAAGAAGTTGGGAACTACAATAATAGCAATGTTAGTTCCCTTTATGATGTAATGTTCTTTACCATGAGCTCTCTTTGCTTATTTCCTTAAGCCCCTTCTCCATGAGCACTTATACAGCCCTGTGTTTCCCAAGTCACTGTTTTGTAGGAATTGCTAGAGACAGCTTGAGGCCTGACAGCCTGGGTAGCACAATGAAGGTGGCAGCTATCAGTAAGTAGAATAGTTACTGCCATCTCTTGGATTATTATTCTCGTGTGGTCCACTAGATTTGGGCCTTTGGGGGATAAATAGAGTTTTCGTCCCATTTATCAGCTTTTCAGGTACACCTGTGTGCTTGCTGTCTTTTGGTTTCTGTTCTTACAACGTTGGGTGTAGCTCCTGGGTTGAAAGTGGGTCTTATCCCCCCAGTAAACAGTTAGTTTATTATTGGAGAAACAGATTGGGTGGAAAAAGCTGGCTATGGAGTTTGACTCTGCTGCTAATTGGGATTCATAGGAGCAAAGACTACTAAGTGATTAAAATCATTGTGGTTTAGATGCATGTTTTAGATGCATGTTGATGGAGCTGTGGCTCATTATTTAGCCTTCCCTCAAGGTAGAAGTCTATGATCAAGTGTAATATGAAATGTGGAGAGGCTAGGACCCTGAGCTCTAGTAGAGGCATTCCTCATAAGCTTCTACAGTGCAGATGTTATAGGGCAACTGTCTGGGATTCATAGAGAGTGTTGTAAGAAACCCAGACCGGAAAGTATGCCCTTCAATTACTAGGTTGGAACCATGTGGTAAGTGCCACAATGTGGCATGCATGCTTTAGGTTGCCAAATTATGATCTCACTGCTTCCTGTAATAATTATTGTTGTTCTGTTTGGCTATACTAATATATATTTATACACGTTTTTAATCTAAGGGTATTTAGCATTTCAAATTTCAAATTTTTTCTTTTTAAAAGGACATTATGAACAGTGAGAAAAGTTATGATTCATTGCCCAATTTTACTGCTGCTGACTGTAAGTATTTAATTTTGCTGATGGAGGTAATGTTTAGATTGTATCTTTGTGCATGAATATTGTCGTCTGTCAGTATCGGAATATGTGTTTTTAATTTGAAATTCCTGAAAAATGGGAATAGCAAGCAACATTATTAATAGGAATTTTTATCAGATGATACAAGTCAAGTGTAAGATTTAGCCTGAATATCTAAAAGAGGAATATTTTAGAGTAGTAAAATCAGATAAACAGGACTAATCCATATATTTCTAGAGAATGAAGTACTTTTTGACACTTGGGCTGTGAATATACCAAATGAGGGAAGAAAACTTGTGCACAGTGTTTTTGCAGTGTGATACATGGCTTTTACTAACACAATTTGCTGATGTTTTATTCTAACTTTAATTGCGTATTTTGAAATATGACCATAGTTCTGTTGTGTAAGAAGCTTTTGCTGAGAAGTACATTTGATTTCCTAAAATTGGGAGGACTTCTGCTTTTCAAAAATATTCTGATTTATCAAATGTGTCAGCTTAAATTCATCTCTCCCAAAGTTTAGCTTTCTTTAATATTTTGCTTGAAGAATTTCTTTTAATTTTATATGGACAGACCATGTTGATCAGTTGTCAAAAGATGAACACAAGTTGAGAATTGAATTTTTCCTAAAATCACTGGTGAGTGTACTTACATTTCAAGATGTATTAAAAGTTTTTAAAGGAAATACTGTTTCTTTCAGGTCTAAGGCTTCTTGGCATAGGAAGAAACCAGTATATCGATCTTATGAATCAGTGTAGATCATCAAAAGTAAGTTAGTCATTTCCCTTCCCCCACCCCCATTGTTTCGGTCTCCTTATCATACAGCTTGATTAGTTTTTTTAAGTGGTAGAAATAATAAATTATATTTGTTTGACCAAATGAAATGTCCTTAACAAAGAAACAATACGAAAATAATTCCTCTGTGTTCTCTATATTATCGCTCTAGTGATTGTTGAATTAGAAAATACTTAAGGCATAAAACATTTATTTTTAAAAACTATTTTTGCTCTTTTGGTCTTTTTACTTGCCCATTTTACTCCTAGGGCTCACTTAATGGGTGAAATATGTATACATTTTCAAGTGTGTTTTTTAGCTCTTGGGTTTCATTTGAGTTTCTGGATTTGGATCTAGATTTAATGATTAGTGTTTTAAAATAATTTATTTTGAAACAATTTAAAGTATGACTTTCTTCATTCCATATATCTAGAATAGTTAAGATTTTAAAACATGAGAGTTTAAAAAGATATTTATTTAGCCTTTTAGAAACACTCTTACTATATGATTGATATAAGAAGAAAGTGGTAATTTTAAGTTGATTGCAAATTCTCAGATGTTTGTACCATTGCAGAAATTTTTCAGAAGGAAAACGGCTCGTGATCTTCTACCAGTAAAGCCAGTGGAAATTGCCATAGAGGCCTGGTGGGTGGTGCAGGCTGGATATATCACAGAAGATGACATCAAGGTAGAGATCTTTAAAAGTTAAACATAGAATTCTTTTTAACCTATTTTATACTTTTTAATTATAATTCTATAATTATTTTTAAAAGTAGCACTATTTAGTTTTCCTAAAGAAAATTAAACTTAAATTCGAAATTTAAAATGATTTTAGTAGTCTAGAATATTGGTGAATCTCCAAGATATTCTTTAAAGATGAAGGAGACTTGATTGGTTCAAGTATAATTATCTGGGAGTGTTAATTAGATAGAAGTTTCATGTAAAGTAGGATGATGCCATAGCTACCAAAAACAATAATATTGGCTAACACTTTTGAACAAGTGCTGTGTGCTAGATGTGCCAGCACTACTGCAAGTCTTTTTATATTGTCTCATTGAATTCTCTTAACAACCCCAGAGATATATTATTTATACCCCCCTTTTACAGATGAGGAAATTGAACATAGAATATTCAAGTAACAGCTCAAGTCATAGTGGTAGTAAAGGTCCAGGATTTTCACCCAGTTTGCCAAGGAAGCTGTGCTCTTAATCACTGCGCTAAACTGCTGTCCTGAAGTGATAGGTTCCTTGATGGGGGTGATAGTGTCAAGATCAAGGGCGTTGATATTCCCAGTGGTCAGACCATATCTTGGAAGGGATATTGATTTCGAGAAAAGGAGTGGAGAGATGAGGGGACCTAGAGACCAGGTCATGTTTATGTGTGGTTAAAGGATTGTGAATGAGTATATGGACTTTTTTTAGTCTGCATTTAATTTTTCTCCAGAGGACATAGGAAATCCAGTGAGTGGAAGGCTTAGAAATTTCACTTCAGTATAATATCTTCCTAATGAGCTCTCAAACTGTATCATAATAAGCTAGTGACCCTTCCTGCCATTGATGATATTCATGTGGAGTTTGAGTAAATATTCAGAATCAGCAAAGGGATCTAATTCCAATTCAAAGACAAGGAGTAAATACTGGTATTTATTGGTGAATGCTCATTGCTAACCAGCAAGTGTTGATACTTATAATAACTTTGTTCTCTAAGTTCTGTTGGTAACATATTTTGGCACTTTAATTGATGTCCATGTGCATAGATTTTTGTTTGGACTCTAGAGGGATAAGTGAGAAAAATATGTAGCTCATTGAATTAATGACACGTAATCCTTGGTTTCAACATGAATAAATTTCATGAGACTTATGAATTAGTGAATTTGGACAGAACTTAATTGAAAATATTTTGCTTTTCTTAGATATGCACTTTGCCTGAGAAATGCGCTATTGATAAGATCATCGATTCAGGCCCTCAACTCTCTGGATCCCTAGATTACAATGTAGTACATAGTAAGTGGTTAGTAGAAATGGTCTTTTGTCAACATAAAAACTTGTTTTAAACCTTCGATTACTTATCAAGTAGGTACAAATAGTGTTATTCCCTAAGGCATGTTATTGTTTGAAATGTGACCTTAGTCTGTTACTTTCCAGTGTGGCTATAATTAGTCACATACACTAGAAATTTATACAAATCAATGGTAAGAAAAATTTTGTAGTTCTGAGCATATGTAGGAAACCAAGATTTAAAAACTTTAATATAATTCTTTTTCTCTTGTATTTTACTTTTTCCTTCTTCACATAGCATTCAGTTGTAAGAATCTTTACAGAAAGCCAGAATCAAAATTTTTCAAAATTGCTGTGTGTCGTATTCCATCTAAAGCAAGGTTCTTTTGCTTCTATAGGTTTATATAACAAAGGATTTATTTATCTCGATGTACCAATATCTGATGACAGTTGTATAGCAGGTAAGTCTGTGCTAATATTTTTAAATGTTTTTTGAATGGCTGCTAGGTGCTGAGTGCTGCATATCATCTATCCTAGGAAAAACCTTTCTTCTGCATTATATAGTAACACATCGTGATGGTTTTACTTAAATTCCTTATTTTCATTTTTATGTTATCTTGGTGCACACTATATAAAAATAATAGAAAGCCAAGATAAATTTCTTATAATTCCAAATCAAATCAATATTTTTATAAATTCATGTCCCTTTTTAGTCTTCGTTCAGGGAAAAGCAGGTTTTACATATATTTAGTAATATAGAATTGTATGTTCTCCATTTTCACTTAACATACCTATGTCTTATTTTTTCATGTTACTACAGTCTTTTTTTGTCTTTATTTCATTTTCCCTTACTCCTTTACCTACTTCTCCAAGTTAAACCAATATTAAGGGGCTTGTGTATTTCCTTCTATACCTGATGGATGTAACAATTTATTAAACCCTTTCTTATTGCTGGCTATTTAGATTATTTCCAATTTTTTTTGTGCTACAGTGGTGATGTGGTCAGCATCTTTACTACAAAGGTGCTTTTTTTCTTTAGGTTAGATTTCTTACCAGTTTGTAGAAGCACTTATTATATTCAGGTTATGTGTTACAAGTATGTTTTGTAGCATATCTTTTGGCTGTTGTTATTGTTTGTGATATCTTTTTACCAGACTTAGATATTTAATATTTGTGTAATTAAATATAAAATGTAAAAAATTCCAGGGAATGCTGTTTCTATTAACAAATGAGTGGTTATACTGCTTGTTACAGAATTACTCCCTAATGTCAGTATTGAATCTTGACAGTTCATCATGCTCTATTGTGTCCTTTTATTTGGGTTAGCATTTGTTTGTGAGTCTTTAATAATGCATTTTGAACCATATAACTATATGAATTGTATTTTAAGCTTGGAATGGAAATAACATGAAAAGTAAATGAAATATTGATTCAGTTTATATAGTTGTTGCTGTAACAAATAAAATACTAGTTTTAAAATTAGAAGGGTTTTAACAAGGAAATCATTTCTGGAAGACAGAGTAGGTAGTGGTTTCCTATCATAGGTGGAAAATATGAAAGCATTACTCTAGTCCTTATTGTCATCCAACATCCGATGATGACTCATTGGAGATGCACCTAAAAAGGCTCATCTTTGAATAGCTCATTTCAGTCCATTTTGACTGACAGTTTGAACATTGACTCACATTAACACTAATATATTTGAAAGAAGCCGTTAGAGAAGGTCTGAATGGATGGCTGCTTCATTACAGTGGTGTGTTGTTCTTCAATGCTTCACTTAGTAACTGACAGTTTTTGGTGGTACAGACAGACCCATGGGATAATAATTGCTGAATTCACCCTACTTGTCACCATGTGACCTCTCTGGCTGTTCTCCAGATTGGAATAAACTCATGAAAGAAAAACATTTTGACAACATGCAAGCCATCAAATTCAGTACAGATGATACATTTCAAAGGATGCATTTCAGATATATTTCAACAACAGCAATAGTAACAACAAAAACACAAGCCTTGTGTGTGGTGGAACAAATATATAGAGAGGAGAGAAATGCTTTGAAGAGAATAATGATGAAAGGCTCTGTTGTTAAATATATTTATTTCATTACTCATCAAACTTTCTAATTGCATATTTTATGTCTACCCTTTATAGCTTCTAGATTTCTGCTATGCTTGAATACCCTTAGGATATATGGTCTAAAAATTCTTGAAAACTTTTGTTAAATATATTTAAATTTGTAGTTCATTTGGAACTTATTTTCATATTTGATATGAAATAAGGGTTCAACCTAATTTTTTTCTTTTTGGATAACCAATAGCATTTGAATAAATGCTAGCATTGTTTTTTCAATAACTCATTACTGCTGAATGGCACTGTAACTTTTGTCATACATTAAATTCCCCTCTATATTGGATACCCTTTTTTCTTCCACTGAAGTATATTGTTTTGATTATAGTGACTTAGAATAACTTTTAATATTAAATACTAGCTATGGCCAGGCTTTCCTCATGAGTTTTTTATTTTTATTTTTATTTATTTATTTTTTTTGAGACAGAGTCTTGCTTTGTTGCCCAGGCTAGAGTGAGTGCTGTGGCGTCAGCCTAGCTCACAGCAACCTCAAACTCCTGGGCTCAAGCAATCCTTCCCACCATGCCCGGCTAATTTTTTTTTTTTCTATATATATTAGTTGGCCAATTAATTTCTTTCTATTTATAGTAGAAATGGGGTCTCACTCTTGCTCAGCCTGGTTTCCAACTCCTGACCTTGAACAGTCCGCATCCCTCGGCCTCCCAGAGAGCCAGGATTACAGGTGTGAGCCACCGCGCCCGGCCTCCTCATGAGTTTTTTAAAATAACTTTCTTGGTTATTCTAGGATGTTTATTTATACACACACACACACACACACACAGACGTATTTTTTTTAATTAATAAATCATAGCTATATACATTTATGGAGTACAATGTGATGTTTTGATATATGGATACAATATGACAGGATTAAATAAAGCTAATTAACATAGCTATCACCTTGTTTACCTATCATTTTTTATGGTGAAACAATTGAAATTTACTCTCTTAGTTATTTTGAAATACATAATACATTATTATTCATTATAGCTACCTGGTATGCAGTAAATCTCAAAACCTATTCCTCTTGTCTGTCTGAAACTTTGTACCCTTTGATCAACAACTCCCCATTCCTCCCACCCCCGACTGTGGTAACCATCATTCTACTCTATTTCTATGAGTTCAACTATTTTATATTCCAAATGTAAATGAGATCCTACAGTGTTTGTCTTTCTGTGACTGGCTTATTCACTTAGCAAATGACAGGATTTTCCCCTTTTTTATGGCTGACTAGTATTCCATTGTGTATACATGCCACATTTTCTTTATCCATTCATTTGTTGATGGACACTTAGGTTGTTTCCTTATGTTGGCTCCTGCAAATAATGCTGCATTGAACATGGGAGTGCAGACATCTCTTCAACCTATCGATTCATTTCCTTTGGGTATATACCCAGAAGTGGGATTACTGGGTCATACGATAGTTTTATTTTTAGTTGTTTTAGAAAACTTCATACCATTTTCCATAATTTAAATTTTTTTAAAAAAAGGATAAATTTCTTATAAAAATTTTAATTTTTTTATTTTCTTTTTTTATATATATTTTTTTATTTGTTATTTTGAACAAATTTTTAAAAATAACTCATTCTTTTTTCTTTTTTTCTGAACAGAGGGAAGGGACAAAAATTTTTATTAATGTATTTTTGGGTAGGTAATAATTATGATACAAAATTCTGACTTTACAAGGGAATAAAAATGTCTGCCTCCCACTCCTATGCCTACCTGCCCAATTTCTTTCAGCAGCCACTGTTAAGTTTAATTTTTACATAGATTGTATACTGTAGTTCATGCTTTTTCTTAAAACTAAATATTCTTTAGAGACTATTCCCTATCTTTTCATATGGAATTGCCTCATTCTTTTTGCTCAGATATAAATTGTGACTTAGGAAAATTTCTAACCTCTTAAGTGCCTTCATTTCTTTATCTCTGAAATAGGGGTAATTAATGCTACTGTATAACTTGTGGGGTTAAGAGGATTAAATGAAATTGTATATATAAAGTACCTGGCAATGATTTAGCACTTAGTTAAGTATTCAACAAATGTTTGCTATTGCTATTTTATATAGCTGATAGTATAGGAAAAGAATTAATGATGTCAAATATTAGATTTCTAAAATATTTCTGTAAAGAAACGTTGGTCCTTAAAAGTACCTGAATGACTGGAAATATGGGTAGCACTAAATTAGAAAATGACGTGAGCCAGATCTATAAAGTGAATAACCTATCCTGAAATATACATTATGTTTTTTTCAATGTCTTGATGTTGACCATTTGAATTTTTTCTTAATTTTCACCTTTAAAAATAATTTAGGTTTTTGGGTACAGTTAGCTGGTATTAGGCCAGGGGACACAGAGATACCCAAATGCTGCTGTGGCCTAGGCATTCCTCCTTCCCAGGATATTTTCAAGGAAAGTGTACACACTGGAGAGAATAGCAGAGAAAGGCATAGCACCTCTTTATTATTGGCTGGGCAGAGCACTCTGGAGAATCAGATTAGAACATTTGGACCAAAGTGATAGAGATGAGTATGAATGAGTATTCAGGTGGAGAGAGATGATTGGCTTGCCTGCTGTGCTGAAGAAGGTCTTGCCACTGAGCCCACCAAGAAGGATACAGAATAGAAAGCCCCAAAGAGCAGATTATACCAGTGACGACTGGTAAATGTGACAATCATGAAGATGAATTTCAAGTGGAGGTGATGGGGAGAAAGGCAGAGGAGAGAGTCAGTACTTTCCATCCACCTGGTTTTTGTCTAGCATAGCAATCTTGCAGTCCTTTGCTTTTCTGCTTTGGCCCAGTCACTCCTGCTGCTGATGAGGCATCAAAAACCCACACAGCAGAAACCCTCTGTAGCCTTCCCCATTCTGAAGCAGCCCTGGTTCCCTTGTCCTTCTGCCAAGTCCGTGTTATCCAGCATTTCCTCTGCCTTGGTAACTGAGAGTTCCATGGTGAATTCAGTTAGTCTTTGTGGATTTTGTGCTCTACCTTCACAGCCCTCTCTGTAGGCAATGTCGTATATGGCCTTAACTTGGGAAGTTTTAGAAAACTTGCTGTGGAATGGATAAAATAACTCAAAAGCTGCATTCAGTTCCTAAGTTAGAAGTTTCTTTTTTTGTTTAGATATTTAAATTATAGTTTCTTATTTTATAAAATCATGTCACTGAGAAAAGTCTATTTTGTTTATTTTAGTTCCTCCTCTTGAAGGTTTTGTAATGAATCGAGTGCAAGGTGATTATTTTGAAACTCTGCTCTATAAGATATTTGTTTCAATAGATGAGTACACTAATGTTGCAGAGGTAAGTGTGGCATTGTCTTATGAAAGAAGATAATCTCAAGATTTAAAATAAGTTTGTGTAAAGTGGGTAGAGTTGTTTAATGACACAGTTAAAATGTTTTCAAAATCTGTATCTGGGGAGATCATAGACCATTAATATACTTAAATGTCACTATTCTTAAATAAATTCCTACATATGTGCATTAAAATTTTTTTCACTTAATAAATTATAATTTGGTTAAATAACTTTTTACATGACTGTTTATAGTGAAGTATTTTAGACTTTGTTGATCTATTTAGGAATTTTCTTTTTTTAAATGAGAAACGTTAAAGGGTAAGGCATCTTGAATTGTTACAGTCACTATCTGGATCTGTACTACTCTAAATGTCTTAGAGATAGGGGAAGAAAAAAGTTCTGAATTCAAAATTTATTTAATCTTCCTATTCATAATTTAAAATTTTGCTTACAGTGATTACATTTGTCTGTAACAGCTGTGTAATATGCTGATAATTCTGAGAATGTAAAAATAAATTTTTATTTTCCAGCTTGCAAATGTCCTAGAGATAGACTTATCCCTGGTTAAGGTATGTTATTTAATACTTGCTTTACTTGTGTGACTACTGAATGGATTTTACTAGCAAATTTTTATCTTGATTTGCTACTGTGAAATAGGCATTGAGATTCTTGTTAGCTGTCTGAGGGAGTGCACAATAAAGGGGTGCTTACAAAGGTAGGAAAGAGCATGATAAGGAGTCTCAACTCAGGATTCCACTGCATGGACTAAAAAAGCCTTCACACTTCTGTATATGGCAGGAAGCAGTTTGATTGGTATCTAGAAATGAGGTAGGGAGGGCAAGGCCAGAGAGTTGGAAACATTCCTTCCTATATGTATGTGAAGACCTTAAGGGAGGAACAGCCCTACTGAAAATTGTTTTTTCTAGCTATGGGATAAAAATGAGAATCATGATTAGTCTATTTTTTCTCTACAAATATTTCAATGTCTGATTTATTGTAAATGCTAATTTCCTTCGTATTCCTTTCAGAATGCTGTTTCAATGTATTGCCGATTGGGTTTTGCCCATAAGAAGGGACAAGTAATAAATTTGGATCAACTTCATTCATCATGGAAGAATGTTCCATCCGTAAACAGATTAAAGTAACTCATTTATTCACTATGAAATATTAGAGTTTCCTTTTGAAGAAACATCTAATTTTACATATAAAAATCTTATTTTTTCAATCTGTTATTTGAGGTGAACCCTATATGTTAGTGGTTTTTAATCTTTTGTGTGTGATGGATCTTTTTTAGGATCTGATGAAAACTAAAAATCTTTTCCCCAGAAAAAAAGCACACTCTTACATATAATTTTAAAGGATTCTTGAATTTCCTTAAGCCTATTTATGGGTCTTAGTTAAGAACCCTTGTTCTATGCAGGCAGAGAATTTTGGGGCTACGTCTCAGTTTTGGGCTTGAATAAAAGACTGGATTTAGATGGATCATTCATAATTTAAGTAGTGACTTGAGTAGGCATTTTTATATAAGATGATTTATATGATATTTAAAAAGTGGATGTGTTCTTCATTAACAGGAGTACTTTGGATCCACAGAAGATGCTCTTATCATGGGATGGCGGGGAAAGTAGAAGTCCTGTACAAGAAGCTTCATCAGCGACTGACACTGATACAAATAGTCAAGAAGATCCAGGTCAGCAGTAGGAACTCAGTTTAATTTAGAGTCTGTCTATAGGTACAGCATATGTCCAAACATATACTTGTTATTTTATAATTTTGTTTCAGATTTTATTTAATCTGTCTGCAATCTTTGGGCACTGTGCTAAATCTTAGGGTATAAAATTAACTAGAACATGGTCATCTAAGAATTAAGTCTAGGGAAAGGAAAGGGAATGTAACCAAAAAAACTATAACAATGTGAGCACAAGTTGTGCAAAGAGGAAGAGACCCTTTATTGGCTAGAGAGGTTTAGGAAGCCTTCACAGACAAGATGTTATTTGGGCTAAGGATAAGAGCCTGCCAGTGGTCGGTATTCTCTTGGCCATTTCAGCCCAAGAGAATAGTGTGGGCTAAGCCTTAAGGTAGGCAAATAATAATGGGTGAGGGGATTGCCCATGGTTTAATGTTAGGAGCAGGAAGGACTGTGGCATGGGCTGTTACCTGAGCCAGGTGACTTATCTGAAGAGGTTAGGCTAATTAGTCTTGTTAGTGTCAAAATCTTTATTATTGCTTTTTAAGAAATATAGTATAAAAGTAAGTACTTTGTAACATTTTTAAAAATTTTTCTTTGCTTAGAGATAGGTATGACTGGAACCTCTTACATTCTGGTTATCAAATAAAGCTGAAATGAAATTCTCATTTAGAATGGTAAGCAAAGAATAATTTTCATTTACTTGATTTCAAATTTTGATTTCTTTTCAGCTGACACTGCCAGTATAAGCAGTCTTAGTCTATCTACAGGATACACAAAACGTATCGCATTTCTGTTTGACTCAACTCTTACTGCCTTCTTAATGATGGGAAATCTTTCGCCAGTAAGTCAAATTCTTGTTTAAATATGAAGGTGTTTAAAGTAAAGATTAGATATAAAATAATTCAGTGCTTTTATATCTTTTTAAGTACTAGATCTATGCCTAAAAACATAACTGACTTTGTTTTATATTCCTTAGAGGAGTGTAGTAACTTTCAGTGAAGGTTACTTTTGTAACTGGAAGAATAAGCCTCTTCCCTGACTTACCCTTAAGTTTAAATATATTGGAAAGCATAAAATAAATATAAGATATTATGCCTAGCATAAAAAAGGGAACTAGAACTTTAATATTTTGTTTCCTTTTTGCAGAACTTGAAGAGTCATGCAGTCACAATGTTTGAAGTAGGCAAACTCTCAGATGAGTCTCTGGACAGCTTTCTTATAGAACTAGAAAAGGTAAATGTAGATTGCATGTTAGGGATGACAGGGCATTTGGAACCTTTTCTTGCTTGCAGTCTATTGGTTGTGATGGGTTTTTCATGTATTCTTATTCATTCCTACCTCATTCCCCAGCTTAATACTGTGGCAGTCATTTAGACTGAAACATACTGAGTGGGGGAACGTATATTGTGGGTTTAAAGTGGTATGTCTACCTCCTCTAACTCTTAACATAATTTGATAAAATAAAGAAATGGGGTATAGAAATCTCAGTCTGTAATTTTCTAAATAGAATTTTTTCTAAAATAACCTTTCATTTTTTTTTTTCTGGTATGGTTCTCTAAGATCATCTCTTAGGCAGTTAAATTTGAAATTTTTGTTCCAGTTATCTTAAACCTGGAACCGTGTCCCTGGGTATCATATTTATGTCCGCTCTCACTGTCCCTTTTAGCATCTTGAAGACTTCAGCCATATTTGCTCTAAACCATCTTTTCCCCTGTGAGTATAGCCTTAGTTTTCCTTAGCTCTAAATCTTGATTTCCCTTTATTGGTGTTTTTCTTTCTTTGGATATTTTATTCCATACTCTGCTTTTCTCTATATGCAAATAGTTTGTGTGCCTGATCTGTTCCTTGACTAATAATTTTGGTGCCTTTTGTGTTTTAGTGATGAATTTTCTCTCTCTTTATATAAATGTGCTGTTCAGAGAACTTGTAATGATTCCGTAATTCTTTTATATCTCTTAAACAAAGACCATAACATTTTTTTGCTGCTTTTTCTCCATAGGATGTTTACTTTTATCAGTGCAGAAATAGATTATCCTTTGCTATTAATTGCCCTCTTTTACTTTTGTCTTCATACTTCTATTATTTCTTCAGTGCTTTTTAAGTCACTTTGTTAACTCCATTTCTTGCTGTGTATCATCTTTTGCCAATAAATTTTTTACTATGTTCCTGCACATTTTAAGTTCTGGTCTCCCAATTTTTATCTTTCTTGCCTCAAGTAGTCTTTTATCAAATGTAGCAAATTGCAATATCACATCTGTTCTCATTCATAAATCTGTTAATATATATACATTTTTTACCGCATAGTTATTCTTGGAAAGGCCTTTTTGTCTGAGGTTTAGTTTAAAAAATGGATTCTTAGCTACTTTTTAAGTAGTCTGATCTTGATTAATCTTAATTGGTTGGTCTTATTAATTTAATGCAAATCTAATTTAGGTAGACCTATCATTCCATTTTCTGTGCTGTTTCTGGGATGTATATATAGATAGAGTAACAGAAAAAAACGGACAAAACTCCTGCCTTCGCTGGCCTTATTTATGGTCCTGTCTATCTTTATCTCTTAGAGAGATCATAGTACATATGAGCCACTCAGCAAATTCTTGCTGAGTGAATTTAAGTTGTATGTTCAACAGTGGTGAACAACCATGTTGAATTTCATACTCCATTGTCCCTTGTAACTGGTGATACAAAATTTGCACAAATTGATGAGAATTACAGGCAAAATTGGTGACTGTGGATAGGAGTACTTTTCTAAATGAAAAAATGCATTGGGTTTAGAGTATTTTAAGCATTCTATTTGAATTATATATGGGACATGTAACTTATATAATGGTATAATTTCCTATTATTCAGTTGCTAAAACATTGTTAGTTTTACTTGGTGTAATTTCTGTCATCTTCATAAATGTTGTAAAATTGGAAACTCAACCAAGATTCAGGTTAATATTTGTTTCAGTATTGCCTGGCCAAATTTTCAATTTACTGCTTTTGAATAATGTCTTAATATCTCTGTTATATAATTATTTATTAGAGTGAACGTCATGAAAGTGGTGCTTGTTGCAAAATCTATTTTCTCTTGGTTTAGGTTCAGAGCACTGGTGAAGGAGAAGCACAGAGATATTTTGATCATGCGCTTACTCTGAGAAACACAATACTGTTTCTGCGTCATAATAAAGATCTAGTTGCGCATACTGCACAGCCAGACCAACCCAATTATGGTATGATAAATATGTTTAATTTTGAAGACATGATTCTGTGAAACTTCTTTCCTAAGAAATTAAACAGATCATGCTCACTTGTATAATCATCACTTATGTAATATATTTTGCGTAGACTGCATATTGGATTTATAACTAGAGGCTTGTTTTATGAATTTATTTGCTTGTCAACTTATTTTACTTCTTCTCTTCTCATGTGCCATTAACACTCATAGTATTTAAATCTGTTTGGTACCCAGAGAAGGTGTTGGAGTGTTAATTTATTTAAGTAACTGGATGGAGTCAAGAACAAGCATTAGCTCTAAGGGCTGAACAAATGACCAAAATTGAGTTAATATAGGAAGCATAAAATTTCAAGAATGAAAGTTTCCATTGTATGAAATAATAAACAGGAACTTCCTGTTCAGATCTACTGTGATATTTACTAAAGTATTTTACTTTCAAAAAAGGGAACAGATAATTTCTTTTTAAAAAGAAAGAAGTAGTGGCAATCTTAATGTATTGATGGATTCTAATGTGGCTGTTGCCCTAGTAGACACTCTCAGTTTTGTGATAACTGGGGGTTCCCACACTTTGATTGAACTGACGGTATCAGAATTTCTACCTAGAGATTCTGATTCAGTGGATCTTGAGATGTGGAATGGCACCTAGGAATGTGTCTTTTTAAAAAAGATGATTCTAGTGTTCAGGTAGGCTTGGACATCTTTGGAAGAGCATTTGACTCAAGTCTTTAGACATTCACAAGAGTGTCATCTTGAGACTTCGTGGGTCCTTGTTATCACTATACCATTTAATTTCATTCTTTCATTTACTTGAGAACCCTATTTTTCTGGCCAAGAACCATCAGTTTCTTAGTCATGTTAATTTTTATTTTATTTCTCTCACCAGCATCTGGCTTTCTTTTCAGCTCAATTTTAAAAATTAAGGAAGGAATCAACTATCACTTCACAGGAATTGTGGCACAGGTGAAAACAAAGATCCTGGGAAGTTTAGCTGAGAGAGACGAGACTCATTGAGTACCTAGTGACTCACTTCTGCAGATTTAGCATGCCTTAGCAGAATTACAGATTATTACATGTTGTGGCACTTTTTGAGATTATTCATAAATAGTTAAAACTGAGAATTTTGAATCACCAAATACCAAGAGCCTGAAGCACCTTGATAAGCATTTGTTGATGGGTAACCATTTTTTGCTACCAAATATTAGATCAGGTATCAAGCAGTGAGTGGAACAGTCTTGAAGATGTGTTGGATATAAAACTCCTGGAATTTCTGAAACATTTTAGTGATTTATGGAGATAATGAGTTAGACTGTTTGAAATATTCTGCTGTAGCTGTCTTGAAATACATTGTCCTTCCCTGCCTTTCATAGAATCTGAGAATGTTAGAGAGTAGTGACCAGCCAAGTGTAACTCCTTTGAAAAATAAAGAAATTGGAGCTTATCTGTTTAAATCTCCTGTTTTTTTAGTTATCAAAGCCCATGATGAGTAAGTGGAAGAGCTGGGAATAGAAGACTATTCTATCTGTGTCTCTTGGATTTTTTTTCCATTGCCTTGTCCTTTTTATTAATGTTATCTTCTCTTGAACACTAAGCTTTTATTGACTTACCAACAATTTGTTGCTTCATAGTTTGGGCTAAACTTTGTTTTCACTCTGAATAGTCTGTGTACCATGAAGTAAGTTAAATGGTAAATCTAAACCTATTCTGTATGAAAATAGTTAAGTGTAATTCTAACCTTTAAGGTAGGTTTAATAGTTGACTATTCCTGGTGTCAGTTGGAGCTTTCATTGCTTAGAATAATTGCTGGGGCTCCAATGTTAAATTGTAATTAACTCTACCCTATAAGACCAAACCTGCAACTATTTATGAAGTTTCATTCTTGTAACCAGCCTTTCTTAGTTGAGCTCCTCCTCTGAACCACAGAACACAGAAAATGATTGGAGTTACTGTTTCAATTTTTCTGATGATGGTACATCACTAGTACCATTCCAGATGCATAGAAAAGGTCGTTCATTCCATATAGCGGATTCCTTAGGGTATTAAGTCTTCATGCTCATCCTGTTGAGAAACGTTGCTTTCTGTAGGTGCTGGGCTTGACAACTGAACCTTATTCTTTTTTAGAAAACAAGTTCTGTAGTATTGGTGGTGTAAGCATCTTGTTTGAGTAAAAATTTGTAGTTTGCGTATATCCTGCAGTACTTGGTATTTACTGTAAAGCAAAAGCTTTGGGATACTGTCATAGAAGCAGACTGTCATATGTGAAAAGGACTAATTTCTTAGTAATCTCTTGGTTTTGAATTGCATGGGGCACTGCTTAAAAAATAAAAGCAATGTGTGGTCTAATTTTTTCTCATAAGCATGATTTTTTTTTCCAGTATCTTAGTCTTTTAAAAAGGCATCTTTCCACTATGATCAATACCAGTCAGACATAAAAATATATAATGATATATAATTTGGCAGCCTAGTACCATGGAAATGTTTAGAAATTAATCCACATTTGTAGAAAAGCAATCCCCATTGTAAAAATAGTAGAAAATGTATTCTAACTACCATGAACTCTTTAGACTTTCTACTTTCCTTGTTCTAGTACACATTAAATATTTTCTGTACTTGTTAAAAATGTTGAATTTTGCCTAAAGGTTAAGAAATCCCCTCACCCTTTTGTGTTTTGGAGAAGGGCTTATTGCAAAGACCCATTCTTAGCTCTTGTAACTCAGATAAGATTCACTGGTGCCCCCCACCTTGTTCACTCCTGACAAGGCCAGAAAGGGATCCTCCAAATTCCCTTTGTCTCATAAACAATAGACCAAAACTGCCTGACCCAACTGATCAATCAGAACGAAATGCTTGTTAGCCAAACTTTGGTTAAGTTTCTCTCCTTCCTCCAGGCCTCTGAACTTTGACCCAACCTCAACCTGAGCCCCTACTTCAGGGCCCCTCCCAGAAATAAGCTGACCTTGTGGTAAAATATTCTCTAATCTGCTGTCTTGTACTGTCCCCTTGCCACCCAATTCCTCATACCCTATTCTTTCTGCTTTGTCTATTCCTTTCTTATAAAAGAAAAACCCTTGTGTAACACTTAAGACTCTTAGGAACTTTGTGATCATGATTGCAATAGTCTCTTTCCCCATATTACGGTGGACCCCTACTCCTCAATCCTTTTGAATAACCTCTCTCCTTACTACATTCAGATGTTCTTAGTGGATAGCATTTTCCCACTCATGACTGTTGTATAATTTCTCAGTGTACTTAATCAAACATACATTTCTTTAGTCTTTTTAGAACTTTTTCCCCTTTTCTCCTTTTCCTAAGCCACCTGGTGACTTCTCTCATTTTACTTCAGGATATATCCTCTGTTCCAGCCAGACATGTTACTGGCTAGAACATAGCCAGAAATGTCACTTGGTAGAAGCCACTTTTTCAGAGGCTTCACTCTCCTGCCTCCACCTTGTTTTTTTAGCTGGGACATGTATAGAACTCTATTCATTAAACTATAGACTCCTGATTTTTTAACATTTTATTTGTAAATATTTTAAATTTACAGAAAAATTTCAAGAATAAGAATAGGTATAGTTACTTTTTTTTTTTTCTTTGAGGGCAAGCTTTAAGGTATAGTTACTTTTAACCCAGAATTTGGGTGTAAGTTGGATATCATGGCCTTCCCCCCTAAATTATTGAGTGTGTATTTCTTAAGAGTAGAACTGTTCTCTTACAGCAACTTCATAACTTCAGTAATCTGCAGTTAATATTCTATTTTGTGAATTTACCCAATAATATCTTTAATAGTATTTTTTTTTCTCAAGTGCAGAATCTAGTTTAGGTTCAAGTATTATTTTTAATTGTCATGTCTCTTTTATTTCCTTTATTCTGGGACAAATAAATAGCATTTTTTGTCCTTTATGGTGTTCTTATTATTAAGAATCCAGTTCCTCTTTTGTAGATTTTAGTAGAAAGTTTCTCATCTTGGGTGTATGTGCTGTTTCCTCATGATTAGGTCAAGTCCTGCATTCACGTCTAGAAAATCACATAAGTGTTGTGTCCTCCTAACGGTTTGACATCTGGAGATTCATGATTTCCATCTGTTCCTCATTGGTGATGTCAATTTTGATCACTCAGTTAATGCATTGTCCAGTTTTTCCACTGTGTAGTCAACTATTTTTCCCTCCACAACTAATAAGCAATCTGTCAGGAGTTACTTTAAAACCATGCAAATATCCCACTCTTCATCAGTGTTTCCTGCTACATTTGGCATCCATTGATGGTTCTTGCCTTAGCTGTTTTTTACTATAGTGGTTGCAAATTGGTAATTTTGTTCCAACTCCAGCATTTCCTCCATATTTAACAGTTGGGACTAGGCATGCTCTTATTTTCTCAGTATGGATTTATGAATTCCTGTTTTTTCAATGGTCTGTAATTAGGCATTACTATCTCTTAATTATTTTTGTGCTCCATTTGTCTCAGATTTTGCCAGCAGGATTCCCTTCAAGCTGGCTCCTATCTCCTAGGAGCCTGGTTTCTTTTACTGGGGAATGGTATTACATACCAAGAGCCTGGCACTAGTTGTGCTCAGTGTTTCTCGGCAGGCCAGGATTTTTGTTAGATGCATTTTTACTTGAAGGGGGAGATGGCTAACCTGATCTGAAGTTTCTTTCAAACTTAGATATCTCTTTTTAGAGAGCAATAGCATTTGGTATTTTCCAAAAGGATTAAGAATAGGAATGCTTAAAATCTGTTGCATGCTAAGTGAGTTCATGCTTTATGGACTAGCAGTCTAGGGCACATATTTCTACATCAGAAACTGTTGCCTCTAGGCTAAAATGAGAACAGAACTGTTACTCTCTTTGTAGAGATTAGAAACAGTGGGACGACAGGGAGAAGAACATAGCTTCTACTGGCGCTCAGGCTTTCATAATACAGTTGTTCCATGAACAACATGGGTTTGAACTGCACTTATATGTGGATTTTTTTAATTAAATATACTGAGAAAATTCTTGGAGACTTGCAACAATTTGAAAAAACTCACAAACAGACCGTGTAACCTAGAAATATTGAAAAATTAAGGAAAAGTTAGATATGTCATGAATGCATAAAGTATATATAGACACTAGTCTATTTTACCATTTATTACCATAAAATATATATAAATCTATTATAAAAAGTTAACATGTATCAAAAGTTTATGCATACTTATAGATCATACATTGTACCATTTAAAGTTGAGAGATAAACATAAAGATGCAGTATTAAATCATAACTGTATAAAGTTAACTATAGGACATATTGTATGACTGCAATATTTTGGCAGCCACCTCCAATTGTTATTGCAGTGAACTCAAAGTTGTGAGTATTTGCTTAAACTGCTGTGTGATGCTAATTATCTCCATGTGAGCAGTTTGTCTGTCTGGCAAATTGCATATCGCAGTAATTGCAGTTTTGATATCTTTCAGCATATTTAGTGCAATACTTTAAGTCTGGCATGAAGACCATTGTGAATAAAGAAAAGCAAATTTGTGAAGCCATTACTACGTCTATGCCAGAAGGCATGAAAAACTTGTACTTATTGTAAAATACCTTTTTAATCTCATATTGATGACGTACATTTTATGTGGGTGCAGGATTACTATATGAAAGGCATACCTATAGACTCTAATGTGACTTGAGAAAAAGCAAGGTCAAATGACAACTTAAAGCAGATAAAAGGTGAAAGATCTAAAGTTGGAGAATTTAATGCCAGCAAAGGATGGTTTGATAATTTTAGAAGGTGGTTTGGCTTAAAAAATGTAAAGATAACAAGAGAAGCAGCTTTTGCTGACCAAGAGACAGTAAGCAGGTTCCCAGACACCATTAAGAAAATCATTGAGGAGAGTGGATAACTGCCTAAACAGATTTTTTTTTTTTTGAGACAGAGTCTCACTTTGTTGCCCAGGCTAGAGTGAGTGCCATGGCGTCAGCCTAGCTCACAGCAACCTCAAACTCCTGACCTTGAGCAGTCTGCATCCCTCGGCCTCCCAGAGTGCTAGGATTACAGGCGTGAGCCACCGCGCCCGGCCTAAACAGATTTTTAATGCAGATGAAAGTACTCTATTGTGGAAAAAAATGCCACAAGGGACATTTATTAGTAGGGCAGAAGTAAGCACCAGTATTTAAGGCAGGAAGGGATAGGCTTACTCCACTGTTCTGTACAAATGCAGTCTGGTTTATGGTCAGGACTGACCTTATCTATAATGCCGCCAATCCTCGAGCCTTGAAGGGAAAAGATAAATACCAGCTGCCAGTTTTTTGGTTGTGCAAGAAGGAGGCCTGGACGACAAGAACTCTTTTTGTAGATTAGTTCCATTGTTACTTTGTTCCTTAACTCAGAAAGTACCTTGCCGGTAAGTGACTGCCTTTTAAAGTTCTTTTGATATTGGATAATGCCCCTGGCCACCCAGAACCCCATGAGTTCCACACTGAAGGCATCGAAGTGGTCTACTTGCCCCAGAACACAGCATCTCTATATTGTCCTCTAGATCAGGGGATTATAAGGACCTTTAAGGCTTATTACACATAGTACCTCTGGAAAGGATTGTCAACACTATGGAAGAGAACATCATGAAAAGTCTGGGTGTATTCCACCATCAAAGATGCTGTTGTTTTGGAGATAGCTGTGAAAGCCATCAAGCCTGAAACAATAAATTTCTGTTGGCAAAAAACATGTCCGATGTTCTGTGTGACTTCACAGGGTTTACGACAGCCAATCAAAGAAATCATGAAGAGATTGTGGATATGATAAAATCAGTATTGGGGGTAAGGGGTCGTCAAGGGTTTCAATATATAGATCTTGGAGAAATTCAAAAGCTAATAGACACCACACTAGAGGAATTAATAGAAAATGATTTGATGAGAGATGAGTGTTTCTGAACCAATACCAGACAATGAGGAAGAAGCTGTATTAAGATGTATTATAGAAAAAGCAGTACCAGGAAACAAATTGATATTAGACAGTCCAGTGGAAGGATTCTGATTATTCCAGACTGCTTTTGACTTCTATAAGCCCTTATATGATAACAGCACTGAACCTAAAGCAAATGTTGGAAGGATTGGTATCATAGAGAAACATTTTTAGAGAAGTGAAAAAAAGAGGCAGAAGTTACATTGTATTTCCATGAAGTTACACCAAGTGTTTCTGTCTCTCCTGCCTCCTCCTCCACCTCCACCCCTTTCTCCTCTGCCACCCTGAGACAGCAAGACCAACACCTCCTCTTCCTCAGCCTACACAATATAAAGATGATGAAAATGAAGACCTTTATGATAATCCACTTCCACTTAATGAATAGTAAATACTTTCTCTTCCTTATGATTTTCTTAATAACATTTTCTTTTCTCTAGCTTTATTGTAAGAATACAGTATATAATACATATACAAAATATATGCTAATTGACTATATGTGTTATCAGTAAGGCTTCCAGTCAGTAGTAAGCTATTAATAGTTAAGTTTTGGGGGAATTGAAAGTTACATGCAGATTTTTGACTGCTCAGGGAATCAGCACCCTAACCCTAATCAAGGGTCAGCTATATGCAGCTGTCATAGAGTACCTGGGCATGGAGGGAGAAAGTAAGGTAAAATAAGCATATTTAATTAAAGTAAAAGGTAGCCTGAAATATCCATACACAACTGTCTTTCTAGACCAAAGAATAAAAAATTTCATCTTTAAATTTCAAAATGTCTTCATGGTCTCCTAGGAGATTTGGTACTCCTTGATAGAATTTCTCTACCTTTTAAGAAAAATTTAAATCTCAATGCAGTTAACATATCATGTTCAACAGTTTTGTTTCACAATGTCAGTCCTTGATTCTCTGTCTGTGCTTGATTGTAACTCAGGTTTTCCTCTGGATCTCTTACGCTGTGAAAGCCTTCTTGGTTTGGACCCAGCAACTTGCAGCAGAGTGCTGAACAAAAATTACACGCTGCTTGTTTCCATGGCTCCCCTCACCAATGAAATCCGGCCGGTCAGCAGCTGTACCCCTCAGGTAAAGGGGTTGATACACTTGGTTGTGCCATCGTGACTACTGTCAGTTTTACTTTTGCAATTCTCAAACTTGCAGATACCAAATATTAAAAGCACCAACTCAGAAAAAGCAGTTTTGTATTTATGCCATTGTAAGATAATGTTATATTTGTTTGTGAAGTATGACTGGCATATTTTATTTATAATTTAAGTATCATTTAATGACTTGTGGCGCATTATATTAAAATTTTATTCATGTACAGAATAACTTAAAGAGAATGTTTTGGGCTGCTTTAAGAAGTGAGCCTGTATCATTTTGAGGGGTAAGATAAACTTAATAAGGAAAAATGTTTCAGAAATAGGGCTTGATACTAACTAAACTAAAAAGAAAAGATGATGCTTGAAAGCTGAAACTTTAGTTAACTGTAGAATTTATATGTGAAAATTACTTTTGTTTTTTTATTTATCAAAAATAAATCAGTTGCCTTTATTTGTATTCTTAACAAGGAAGTTGTACCATTTTCAAAGAGTGGGGTTTTATGTTGCTTTTCTTCAGTGCTGCATCGTACCTAGTTTCCTAGATATGCAGGGTTTAATGGTGTGGAAGAAAGAAAGGGATTCTTGCACATAGTAGATTTTGTTGCCTGTGTTTTTCTAGCTGCCTCATTGAGGACCCTATCAAATTTTGTCCTCTGCTTTCAGCAGTAGATGTGCATTTAACCAACCTTTTTTTATAATTCTTTGTGGGCCCCCTCACTTGTTTAACACAACCTTTGGGCATAGTAGGAATTCATGAACTATCTGGATGAATGGTAAAATGGATGGAAGGGTAGGTAGTACCTTTTGTGAAAACTTGTATGTGATTAATGATAATAATAGCTAACACTTTAATATAGAGTTTATTATATTCCAGGTACTGTTTTAAGCCTTTTGAACAACCTTACAGCATTCTCATGAGGTAGATATGTTACCACTGTTTTATAGATTGAGCAATCTATAGATTGAGGCACAGAGACCTTAAGTGACCTACTGAAGGTGATACTGCTGAAGGGCTTGAAATCAAGATTTAAAATTAGGCAGTCAGTTTATTCCAGAGTCTATTCTCTTAATTGTAGTGATAAGATATACTTTCTTAATTCTAGTATTCAATTGAAACTATTTTAATGAAGCATTTAAAATTTATTTTCATAAGGATAATTGCAATCAATGTTTATACGAGGCATTTGCTGTTTATAAGACTAGGTCACTTGTGAAATCTGGCTTCTTTAGATGAATATTACAACTTTATCTTACCTGTTTTATGATTGTAGCATATTGGACCAGCTATCCCAGAAGTCAGTTCTGTCTGGTTTAAACTGTACATTTATCATATCACTGGACAAGGACCACCATCTCTTTTACTGTCCAAAGGTACAAGACTTCGAAAATTGCCAGATATATTCCAGGTATGGGTGTGAGGTTTTGAGTTGTTTTTTTGAGGAGGGTTGAAATTTGTGAGCATATTATAGATAACTTTCTTAACTTTTTCTTTATTTCTAAACATCATTTTATGGATTATTTTCTTTTCAATAGGGTTATGATCGATTACTAATAACATCTTGGGGTCATGATCCTGGGGTAGTTCCTACATCAAATGTGCTCACGATGTTGAATGATGCTTTAACACATTCTGCGGTTTTAATTCAGGTACAGTTACCTCATTTGAAATAACCAATGTTGGATATTTATTGTAAAGATCATAACTTGGCTCACTTTCTACTGAGTTGCAATCAAATGTCAATAATTTGAAATTTATACAGTAGAAGCATAAGGAATCAGAGATTTGGGTTTCAGTCTTGGCTTTTTGGCAGTGTGGGGGTGGTAGAAGCAACATGGACTTTGCAATTAGACCCAGGTTTGATTCTAGCTTCACCCTCTGTTAGCTGTGTGACCAATGTTTTTTTTTTTTTTTTAAATAATAGCTTTGCAGTCATTCCCCCTTATCTGTGGGGGGATACGTTCTGAGACCCCCAGTGAATGCCTGGAACCATGGATAGTACTAAACCCTATACATATTATTTTTTCCTATACGTACATACATACTATGATAAAGTTTAATTTATAAATTAAGGCACAGTAAGAGATTAACAATAATAACTAGAAATAACATAGACTAATTATATAACCATATGCTGTAATAAAAGTTATGTGAATGATTGTGGTCTCAAGATATCTTGTTGTACTGTACTCACCTGTTTTCATAGCGTAGATAACTGAAACTTGAAAGTGAACGCAGAAAATGGGGGACTACTGTATTGAGATATAATTCACATACTATATAATTCATCAATTTAAATTGTACAATTCAGTGGTTTTTAGTATATTCATAGATAAGTACAGATGACACTACACTCAATTTTAAAAAATTTTTATCATCTCAGAAAGAAACTATGGGCCAGGTGCTGTGATGCCAGCAATTTGGGAGTTCAAGGTGGAATGATTACTTGAGCCTAGGAGTTCAAGACCAGCCTGGGCAACATAGTGAGAGCCCGTCCCTACAAGAAATTGAAAAAAAAAAAAAAAGAAAGAAATCCTATACCCTTTAGTTATTGCTACCCTATTTTGTACTCCCTACTCAACCTTCCCCCAGTATTAAACAATACTACTTCCTGTCTCTACATATTTTCCTATTCTGGGCATTTATATGCATGGAATCATATAATATATGGTATTTTGTGACTGGCTTCTTTCATTTAGGATGTTTTCAAGGTTCATCGTGTATATCAGTAACTCGTTCCCTTTTTTGGCCAAATATTCTGTTGTATGGATATACCATATTTCACTTTATTCCATTTCATTTCATCCATTCATCAGTTGATGGACATTTGGGTTGTTTCCATCTTTTTGGCTGTTATAAACATTGCTGTTATAAACATTTGTGTACAAGTTTTTGTGTGGACATATGTTTTCATTTGTCTTGGCTATATATCTAGGGATGGAATTGCTGAGTCATATGGTAACTGTGTTTAAGCATTAGAGGAACTGCCAGACTGTTCTGCAAAGTGGCTGCATCCTTTTACTTTCCCACCAACTGTTGGTGCTATCTGACTTTTTGAGTATAACCACTCTAGTGAGTATGAAGTGGTTATCTCATTATAATATTGATGTGCATAATATATAACCTCTTTTCATGTGCTTATTGGGCTGTGGGACATTGGGTACTATTTATATTTTGTTTCATCTTTGTAAAATGGAGATGGCAATATCTACTGCATAACAAAAATAATAGCTAATGTAAGGTAGGCAACTTATGCTCAGAATTGTGGAGAGAATGAAATGAGAAGGTATATGTGAAGTGTATAGCCCACTTCCTGGTACATATTACATTCTCAATAAAGATTTCACTAATTCCTTCATCTAACAATTAGGTGTGCCATATTCTGTGCTAATTATATATATTAGATATACAAATGAGACACGCCCCCCCCATCATCAAGGAGTTTAAGGATGGTGGAAAAGTTGCATAAGCAGTCAGTTTCACTTTTTGCTTTGTGCTGAATAAAATTATATATAGTGGAAGAATTAAAGAGAGGTACCCAACCCAGCCTGGGGGCAAGGAGAAGAGCTTTGGGGAAGCTACTTGGAGAAAGTGAGACTCGGGCTGAATAAAAAGGATTTAAAAGAGAGCCAGGCTAAGCAGAGAGGCCAGCATGAAAAAATCTCTGGGTAGGGATTTTTTTCTTTTTCTTCACTGCTATTTCCCTGGTGCCTAACACAATGCTTGGCTTATAGTAGTTGTTCAACTAGTGTTTGTTGAACATGTCAATAGGAATATGAAGTAACATGACATATGCCAAGGCCTATAAATTTAATCTGTATTTTTTAGGGGTGTGTTGGAATATGGTGGGATTGTGGTCAGAGATGAGTGTGGAGAAGTGGGTAGGCCCTGAATGTCCTGCTGTAGAGCTTAGGCTTTAACCTGTAGATTGACAGCAGTAATTACAGGGTCCCTGCAGGGGATTGACATGGTGACATGTGTTATAGGAATCAACCTGGGGACTGTATTGAGAATGGATGTGTTGGGGGGAAGCTGCAGGAGGAGACAAGTTAGGATTGTGTGTAGTGGCCTAGAGAAGAGATAAAGACAGCTCAAATCAGGGAAGGAGTAATAAGAATTGAAAGGAAAAGATGGATTTAAGAACTATTACAAATATGCAATTAATAGAATTGATGAGGTATATGAGAAAGGTAAGGGAAGAGGGAAGAATGATCTGGGGTATTTGACTTGTGAAGGTGGAAGGGAGGTGATTCCTTCCTCCTGTATTGAGAGAATACAGGAGGAAGAGCCAGCTTAATGGGGCACATGGTATGTTGTGTTCTGAGCATGTTGAGTATAAGGTGTAGTTGTGGGATATTTGGATGGTAAAGAAATTCTGAAATTCAAATGAGATATTGAACAAGAGAGATTGACTTAAGTGTTGGCCTCAGCAGGTCGATGGTAGTTAAAAGCATGAGAGGACGAAATTAGCCAGGTAAAACATATAGTAGGGGAAGTGGTGGGAGATAACATAATAGGATGGGTAGACATGGACTTAGTCAGACTGGCTAAATTCAAATCTTGGTTCTACACTGATTAGTAACCTCTGGCAAATTAACCTCCTCAAACTTTAATGTCTTTACCTGTAAACTGGAGGTGATAAAAGTTCCAGTCTTTATAAGGTGGTTGAAGAAAATGAGTGAGATGGATAATTATGTAAATGCTTTGCAGTGTGTTGAGCACATAGGAAGATCTCAGACACTGTAAGCTGTGATGGTAGTGGCAGTAGAAATTGAGCAAAGGAGCAGTGGGTGGCCCATTCCTCTTTCCCATCCTGTTGTGGGTCAGGTGTTTATGTCTTTGAGCTTCAGTTTTCCTTACCTGTAAAATGTGTGTCTGTGGGTGGGGGGGAGGCAGTCATTGCAAGTTATGTTCTATAATATATGTTCTATAGGCAGTATTCAGTGGATCAAACCAAGTTAGGTTTTTTGGTTTTGTTTCTTTGGTATTGCAAAATATGGATAGGAAAACATAACCAAATCAGCAGAAAGTGCCTACTTTTGAAGCATTTGTTGAGGAGTTTTGCTTTTGCTAAAAAAGAATACCTCCTTTATTAAATTTCATGGGAAAAATTCACCTTGCTGGAATTTTAAACATTACAAAAAGATTTTGCTTAAAACTATGATTTTATTGAAACCATCTGTTTAGAGTTAAATCATAAATCTATCAATGGAGTAGAAGAGAGCTATCAGAAATGTATTCAAATTGTTTTATAAAACAACTAACAGTGTGATTTCTCTTGGATATATCAGGGTTTCCTGATTTTTGTGAAGTATATAGGTTTCTTTTAAAGGGAAATATTTATAGATCCTCTGTTAAATTTTCCATTAGGATAGTATTAAATATATAAACAAAATTAAAGTCTTCATGCTTGTTATTACATAACTCTAAACTCAAACTTAGTTATTAAGTGTAAGCAAAGCTTTAAAACAAAGTTCAAAATGAATAACATTAATTGCATATGACTGAATTATTTGTTACATGGGATTATGGTGGATAGAATCAATTTTAATTTAATTTTGAATTAATAGTACATTCACATGATTCAAAATTAAAACACTTTTAAAAGGTGTACAGAGAGAAGTATCATTCCCCCTGTCTACCTAGTTCCCACTCTCATCTCTTCTTTAAATCTGATAACTACATCTATTAGTTTCTGCTGTTTCCTTGTAGAGTGTCTTTGTGCATATGCAAGCAATTACACACTCATATGCCCCTTGTTTTTTCCATGTAGCAATTAGAGATCTTTCCAATTCAGTTCATAGGGAGCATCCTCTTTCTTTTTTGCAAGTGCATTGAAAATACATACTGTAACTTATTTAATCAGTCCTCTGTTGGTGGGCATTTTGGTTGTTTCCAATTATATGTAATTATAATGATGTGGTAACTTTAAGTGTAAGTTGTTTCAGTGCAGGTTTGTGAGTTTGAGTTCAATTAGTCCATGGTATGCCATGTGATTGAGGGGATTCTTCCACCACTTGTCTCTCTCAGAAGCTAACCCTTGTGCAAATACACTTGGCCTCATTCAGTCTTCACTTGGCTAATACCTGATTTACCTGTTAAATCAGCCTCTGTTTGTTTTTTTTATTAGCCTATACTCAATTTGGAAAACATTGCCTTATAGGTTAATATACACCTAAGATTGTCATTGTTTGCTATAGAAAATTGTTGAAAAAACATTTTGGTGAAGTATTAATGTGGAATATACCATTATGTGACACAATCTTATTTATTGTTTTAATATCAATTTTTGAAAATGTAGGTTTCTCTTATATCTTTCAACTTGTGTGTCTTTATGTTTAGGGACATGGTTTGCATGGGATAGGAGAAACTGTCCATATACCGTTTCCATTTGATGAAACAGAACTACAAGGAGGTACCTTTTGAATTGTATCCATTGACTTTTTTTCTTATTATTAATCATGTCAACAATTTGGTGGAAAACATGGCAGGAAATGAATTCTTAAAATTTTTAAGTTCTAGGTTCTTACTATTCTGCTATTAAAGAGTATTAGCAAAAGGTAGTATTTTTTGTCATGTGTTATATTCACAAAGAAACTGATAGAATAAGACCCATTTAGGACCTGTGAAAATATACTAGTCTGTTTTGGAGTTGAAGACAGTAAGTGGATTATCTGCCTAGATGGAAGATTACATTTTCTCTATGCTAAGCCTTTTAGTTTCCTTTTATTGTCTGTTTACTTGAAGGTTGGGGGAGAAGTCATAGGGAAGTCATAGGGAAGATTTTATGCTTAGAAAGTTAATTTTTTTCCTTCAATGTTCCATACATTTTTTTTGTGGGGGGAGGTTTCAAAGTGTTCAATGCAAAGTTTTCAGTGTCAGTTTACAGATTAATTGGTCTGTATGTACACACTATATATACATACAGATTGCTGCTAGAAATTTAATGGTTTCATATTTTAATTTTTAAAATCATCTTCAAAATTTTTTAGGTAATTTAGAAATGGATGCTAATGAACATTTGTATTTGTATACTACTTTGTAGTTTATTGAACACCTGCATGTATGTCTTGTTTCAGCATTTACTTTTGCTATTAGAAGGGATTTGAGTGGTTGCAGGGTTTTTGTTAGAACGAATGCAGAAAAGCCCTGTTTAACATTATCTCCTTCTAGAAATGGATGTGAGCTACAGTACATTTGATGCAAGATGCTCAGAGAATTTCTGTAAATCATGTTCATTCTTTTATAATATAGAAGATACCCTGTTTCCTGCTCCATGCAAAACTACTATATTGTAATCTATTTTTCTGATTCTTAGGGCCATATTAATTATATGGATTTTAGAGAATAGTGAATGGTTCAAGTAACTGAACTTATGTTATTTTGTAGAACTTATTGTTCTTCTAAAATGTTAGTTACCACTTTCCCCCACTCTCCCAAAGAAGGGAAAAGGGAGGATTTTATATTTTTTTCCATTTCATATGGCTAGACTGCAGAAGCCTCATGTTTAAGATCTTTCTTCTGCCTATTATGAATAATATGTTTAAAACCTGAAGAGTTTTCTCTCTCAAAAATAGCTCCTATTCCTAAATGAGTACTTCTCTGCAACTAAACTTTGCCGTTTAATCTTCCAACACTTTATAAGTTCTAATGAAGAAATATTTATTTACCTGAAGATGTGTAGATAGTGACAACAGTGTCTTAAAATGTATAAGATCTCAACTGATTAATGGATCCCTTGCTTCGGGAGATTATTGTGTGAAGTATAAAAAATATGAATATTTGAAAAATAGAATATGAATATGATATAGAGCATCTTTCTCTTTTATAAATTTGCATGTTTATGAGAACTTGAGCTAATGTGTAAATAATTTAGGCATATGATTTCAAATAGATTCTTAGCTTTAGTTTCACTAAGAATAATTTTGCTTTTCTTAAATTTTTAACAAATATTATTTGTATTTAATACATTTCCTGAAAGAAGCCCACCAAGTAAGTTTTCCAGGCAATATAGAACCACAAAAAGTTAAGAGAATTTGCCACTGATTGGCTTTGTTTGCTTATTTGTCAGGTAATTTGTTTTGTAAATGCTTGAAGATTATAAATATGTCATATGTGAACAACATTCTTTTGCATTAACATACATTTCTTCACTGGAATCAGTCTTGTTATATTAAAGTGTAAAAAATAGTTCTAAGAATTGTTTAATTAAGAAAAGTATGTTTAAGTTGGTGGTGTGTTATAAAACTATTCACTAATGTTATGTCAACTCTTTGTTCTTAGAATTCACTCGTTTCAATATGGGTGTTCATAAGGCATTGCAAATATTAAGGAACAAAGTGGACTTGCAGCATTTCTGTGGATATGTCACCATGTTGAATGCTTCTAGCCAACTTGTAAATAGAAAACTCAGTGATGCTTCTGATGAGAGAGGTTAGCCAATAATAGTTCTTTGAATTAAGATAATTGTTTTCGAGTTTAATACAACCTTAATATATAAAAAGTAGCAGACCTTTGCAGGGATGTTGAATTATTTAATATTTAATGTCCTGTCAGTGAAGGATAAGAAAATATTTTGTAACATCATTTGGACAAATATCAGTTGTTCAAATGCAGACAATAGGGTTGGAATACAGAATGGATTTTGGTCTTTTAGCCCTTTATCGTCACATCTGTGTTTATAGGCTTTGAGTTAAGTTAGTTTTATAGGGTGATGATTTCAAAACTCAAGAACGACTCTTGGTAAAAATGTTTCCAAAATAAACTGTGGGAATAGTTTTTCTCTTTCAACTTTTCTCTTTCTGTCAAAGGCACCATTGTCTTAGTTACTCAGGCCTAAAATATATGTCTCATCCTTTTCTTTTTTCTGCTATGTCCATTTAGTTTCCAAGTTCTGTGAATTAGACTTTAGAAATGTCTCCCATTTATTTCTTCCCCTCTCTTCTTTTTTAATTCTCTATAACTGCTATTCTAGTCTGGGTACCTTACTCATGTATTATTGCTCTCATTCCCTGCTTAGCCTTCTTGCCTTCTCCTTGTCTCTCCAATCTGTCCCGCATATTGACAACAGCTAATTTTCATTAGATACCACTTTCTTTTCCATTTGAAAGTCCATTTCAAATCACTTTTTCTTACAGATTGTTTCTGCTCTAGCATAAATATTGGCTTATATGTGGCTTTGATTGCCATGATGCTGGCTCTTGTTCATTGACCTTGGGAGACCTTTCAATTCAAATGTCTACCAGTGATTAACAATATTCCATGAGCCTCTTAGTTTGGAATCCTGAGAAAATGTGGTTGATTTCTAGCCATCCAGTGGATTAGATTGGCTCCCTTTGTGACAGATATCTACTTCTGGATCATTTATCTTTGGCCAGAGGAGGAGGATAGCTTTCAATGGTTGACTGCTAAATATTGCAGGGGCATTTTGTAGAGAAGAGGGCTATGTCTTAGGCAGTCATTTCAAAGCATGTCTACTACAGCTGACATTTTTTATGTCATTTATTCCACAAACATTTATGGAATACCTGCTTAGATGCTGGAGATATTTAAATTAATTAGACCAGATTTTATTCCAAAGACAAATCCTAGAAGAGAGACAAACAACTGAATCGGCCTACAGTTAATGACAGTAATAGGGATCTGCTTTAACTGCAAACGCAGCACAGAGAAGTAATATCTCAGCCATGTTGAGCTACCAGAGAAGGCCTCTTAGAGAAAGTGAAGTTTGAACTGAGTTTTGGAAAATGAAAAGTTAGCTAGACAAAAGATGAATATTGTTTGTTTTTTTTTTTTTTGTGTGTGTGTGTGTGTTTTGTGGTGGGGGAGAGTACCAGCCTTTCAGGCAGAGGGAATTAGGAAATTCATCATGGCCAAAAGAAAGGATTTGTTGGATAGCAGTAGAAGATAAGAGTAGAGAATTAGGTAAGGTCTAAGAGATCTTGGAGGATTTTATATGTTGCAAAGCCCTGAGGAGTCAAAAAAGAATTCTGAAGAGGATTAACATAACAGACAATATTTCCATGGGGATATAAACAGCTTTAATAATGATCTAAGTGAAAGGTCTAATTTTGTGTCCTGCTTTCTGAATTTTGATTTCCTGAGGCTAGAGTTGCTCAGCCTCAGCACTATTTGCATTTTGAGCTGGGTAATTCTTTGTCATGAAGGATTGTCCTGGATGTTTGGCATCTGTGGATATGAATAGCATCCCGTCTCCAGTCATGTCCCTTGGGGGTCAAAATTGCATTCATGGTTTAGAAACACTTTAGGCCAGGGATTATTTTTTTTTTTTTCCTCCCCATAATCATTGCTATTGCCTAAAGTCTTTCTTTATGGTAAGACTGATGTATTGACAACTTCTGCTAATTCCTAGAATCCTAATACTGTATATTCCCTTTAATTATAAGGAGAACCTGATTTAGCTTCTGGCTCAGATGTAAACGGGAGTACAGAATCATTTGAAATGGTCATTGAGGAAGCAACTATAGATTCAGCAACAAAGCAAATCTCTGGTAAGGTGTTAAAACTTTTTTACAATTTTATTAGACTAATTTTGGGGGTTTAACTTTTCTAAGTCAAGTTATTTGCATGTCATTTTTCTATTATCCACATTGGACTTTTTAATAAGAGTTTTCTAGGAAACATTTTTATATACTTAACACAAGTAGTATAAAATTATGACTTGAAAATAATAAATTTCATTATTCCTGTGTTAAATATTTTGATTCATTCTTTCATCTTGCACATGTCTTACAGTATTCTTTTTGGGGCACATGATTACTTTGAACATTTGATGAAAGCTGTGTACCTTCTCCCCAGACACAAGTACATACTCAAAAAACATACTATCCTGTTGCAGAGATTAACTGGCCCCTTTTGAGTACCCATTCTCTGCCAAGCCCATTGCTAGATATCACTGGGGCAGGAGGAATCTATGAACCTCAGGTCAAGAAACTTTGTCAGTCATATGACATATATAAATATATATGATTTTAAAAATAAGCTTATGTATCCTTTTTTAAGGTGCCACAACAGAAGCAGATTGGGTTCCTCTCGAGCTGTGTTTTGGAATTCCACTGTTTAGTTCTGATCTAAACCAGAAAGTTTGTAGGAAAATTGCTACACATGGCCTTTGCAGAAAAGAGAGGTGAGGTTTATATTCATTACAGTCTTTTCATCTACTTGACTTTTAGGCTGAATAGTTACTGTATCTTGCTTTCTTTTATTCCATTCATTGATATAGTAATTGACCTGTATAAATTTGTTCAGATTGCTTGTTTAAGGGTTTTGCTATATTTTTTAAAATTAAATTTCACTAGATCAGAAAGCAGGCACAAACATTTTGGGCACATATTTTGGTTAATTATATTTACTTAGTTACCCAGGTTTGGTGAGGTTGTGGTGAAATGGGCATGTTTATATGGAATATGAACCGAGTTTTTAAAATAAATATAAACATATGTATATATATCTGTAGAAAATTTTTCTTGTGTACTTCTCTTGCTCTTAACATACCCTCAAGTTATATTATATTAACAGTGATTATCTCTTGTAGTGGAATTATAGCAACTTTCCAACATTTCTTTACTTTCTATGTTTTCTAAAATGAGAAATGATGCATAGGGTCAGAAATGACACATAGGTTTTATCTGACGCCAGTTCTGATCTGTTGGGAATGGCTGCTAAGAGGCAATGTTGTAAAATTCTGAGATGAAAGATGGATTAGTAGGAAAGAATATCATTGAATCTAGTTGTCACGATGGGTGATTTGGAAGGGTAATATCCACAGATCTCCTAGATTTCTTTCCCCTCCAACCCCATATCCCAAGTTCTCAAGCAACTCCTTGACTTCTTGATTTAGGAAAACAAAGTTGGATAGCAATTCATTTGCTTGGCTTAATGTAGCTTATATCAGAAAATTAAAAGTACTTAATTAACAATTTTAACATCTATCCTCTGAAAATAAAATAACTAACATACATGAATAAAAAGTAGAAATACTATGAAACTTTAAAAGTTGCCACCAAAATTTTTACCGATTTACATATTTGAGAAAATATTTCTTTTAGGTGGGCTGATGTGTGTTAAACCTGTCAGATGTTCTATTAGGTTGTCTTTTAAAATTATTTTGGCTATTTGAAGTGGTTTGTGTCAATAATTGTCAAGTGCCTAAATCTTTATTTAAAAGTTTTCTTTCATTTAACATTTAAATTTACTAATAGTTGAAATGTTTGTTTTTAAATAGTAACTTCAATTTTATTTATATTAATACAGTATGTTTTATTTCATAATGACCTTTTCGTGCATTATTACTCCCTATTATTAAAATAAGCAGATATTTTATTGATGAAAAGCATTGAAATTGGTTTTTAAATTTTTTAATGTGATTAATCAGGATGTAAATACATAAATTGCTAAACTTAAACTCTTGTGAGGTATTCTTACCATTATGTTTATTTTAAACCTTTTCTCTCCCTTTTTGTTTTTAGCCTTCAAAACCTCTTACATTCCAGTAGAAAACTTTCTCTACAAGTCCTTAACTTTGTTCACTCATTCCAGGTAACAAAAAACAAAAAGTCCAAATGATACTTGTATAGACCTTTATGTATGCAAGACACTTTGATGTTTGTTTTTCAGTCTCTACAGCAGCAAGATTTGAAATAAGCATTAATTTCATTTTGTAAGTGGAGACCCTGAGGTTCATGAAGTTAATTTGCTTGCACATCTCATTGTCCAGGTCTTCAGAGACCAAAGCTTGATCTCCCTGTTTTGTGTCAGTGCTTTATTCAACAGAAATGTGTTAAGCATCTGTTATGGGCTGTGCACCCATGCTGGGTGCTGGTTGTTGGTTATGGTGTACTCCATTAATGATTGCAGTATTACCCACTGCCAGGAGGGGGTTGTCTGCTATGGCAGTGAAGGCCAGTGCTGTAGACCTTTTGTCTTCCCCACAAGGAAAGAAAGGATATTGTAGACTTGATTTGTATATAAACTTTTAGAATGGAATATTTCTGTTCAGAATATCTGGTTTGACATTATGAAATCATTTTGGAATTTTATTTCATTCATTCATTTAATAAAACTGGAGTCTACTCTATGCCAGATCCTTTCTGGGTGCTATGGAAATAGTGGTATATATGACACTTAGGGGAGCTTATAGTGTTGTATGAGACAATAGTCAAATAAACATCAAAATACATAAGTAATTATAGATTTTACTTTGAAGGAGCCAAACCTGCATTCCATTATGATGGAATCTGCAGGTTGACCTAATTGAAATGGTGGGAGATAATATGTAAGCCAAAACCTAAGTGATGGAAAAGTATTCCAGGCAGAGCTTAGTAGGTACATAGGTCCTATGTCAGGGAAGTGCTCAGTGTACAAGGAAACAAAGCAAGGCCAGTGTGGCAGAAGCCTTGTGAAAGATGGGTAGTGGCAAGAGGTGAGGTTGAAGAGGAGATCAGGGCCATGGTATAGAGGGTCTTCTGCCATTATATTCAGGATTTGTATAATATACTGAGTGCAAAGAGAAATGATTAAAGGCTTTTAAACAGAGGAGAGTCATTTCTGATTGATTGTTTTAAAATATTAATTACTCTTTGGAGAATAGTTCAGAAAGGGACAAGGGTAGAAATTAAGTTCAGTTTGGCGGCTATTAAAATAGCCTAAGCAAGAGATGCTGTTATTTGAATATCCGTTTTCATGAAAACACCAAATTTTGGATGGATCCTCAATAAAGTTTTGTTTATTACATGTATACACTCATATAAATTATGCATATATCAAAAATAGAAATTTTATAAGGATGCAATAGAGAAATTCCAAAATTTTTTCAATACTGTACCCTACTTTGGAATGAGTGCCTTGGAGATCACTGGCCTTAACTATGGCTAATGAATAAAGTAAACTAATTTGGGATATAGTTTGGAGATAGACTGATAAAACTTGATGGTGAATTAAATGTGAGGAAAAGATTTGAGGTGTGAAAGGAGGGAGGGATCAAGAGTGATTCTCATATTTCTTGATTAACCCAACGTGTAGAGGAGAGAAGCCTGGGGCAGAAGAGGTGGGGGAAATTTTGGGAGTTTACTGGTAGACGTGCCAAATTTAGAATGCGAAGGGAAACATATGAGAGGAGATGCCAGATACATGGATGTTTGAGCCTGGGGTTCTGGGGAGAAGTCTGTGCTGAATATATGAATCTGAGAAGTAGATAGATTGTTCTGGTGCTTAGTGTCATGTTAGTTATTTTAGAAATTTTCTCCTGTTAAGTAAAACTTTAAGGTAGATTCAGTCTTCTAAGAATTAACTCTTTCTTATCTCATAGTTTCATAGCCCATTATTTCTGTTTATTTCGAAGCACTTTTGCATATATTAATTGATTATTGAGGCTTATCAGGTCATTGATTTTTGGGGGTGCTCTATGAGGTTCTTTACATCTGCTGTAGTGCTTTGCATTCCATAAACATTTCTTAGGTAATAAAGGTCCATATTTCTCATTAGTTATATTAAGTGGTATGGTAAACTATTGAATATAGATTATTTCTCTTGTTTCTTGATCTTTTAGGAAGGTGCTTCAACACTGGATGTTCATGCAGAGCCCAGTTTTTCGAGTTTGCTTTCACAGTCATCTTATGCTGATATGGGAGTTCCACTTCCTGCAAAAAACTTAATATTTAAAGATGGCATCTTATCGGAATGGAGTGGACAGTCACCTTCCTCACTTCTTATTGCTAATCTCCATTTGCAATAATTTGGTTACGCCATTTGTTGCTCACTTTCTGCCTTTTTTCTTTCTGAACGTTAGCTTTATAGTGTCAGCCACTAAAAAGCACCCTGCTGCTGCAGTGCAATTCTTGCTTAACTGATAGTAAACGTTTTGGAAACATGTTCATGTTTTCTGAAGTTTTGCTCATTATTGCATATCTTATTGCAACAAAGTGCTTTTTAGCAGCCAGCACTGTATTTTTTACCTTGAGACAATCTGCATTTCTTTTATAAAACTAAGGATATACTTTATAGGCTTTACGATGACTGTTATGTTTATAAGCAGTCACTATGAAAATTGCTGTAGTAATTTTTTATATGTTAGTTTATCAAACATAAAATCTTGTTTAGTTTTATATTTTGTTACCTATACTTTAGGAGATCAAGGGAAGAGAGAGAACTCTTCCCCTGAAAAGGCTTCTTGGTACTTAAAGTAGTAAAACTATAAAACAATAAACATCCAGTATTGAGAGATGGTATGATGGGGCATTAAGAATTCCTGTGGATGTCTGTAAATTATGTATATCAGTTGAACGTGTTGAAGGTATGTAAATCTGCATAGTTATGTATAATTTAACCTTGATAAGGTCTTAGACTATGACTATTCAGTGACATCTCATAAGAAGCTTTGGAAAACATTCTATTTTTAAACACTGTTTATATGTGGACTTCTGTTGTCACTCACTTTGGGCTTTATATTTTCATAGAGTCTTTATGGAAAAAAATAGAATTTATTTTCCACTCTGGTAAGCTGCAGCTGCTGCACGCTTTCACCCTGATTTATTTTTTGTTTCTTAGCTTTGATGTTTTCAAACCAAGGATTGTGATTTTAGATTAGAATGACATATTAGAAGCATTAAGGCTGTGTCTTTGGATCAGAACATTTTAGTGATAAACCTACTTTGAAGACATAGTCTTAAGCAATCTGGATCTTAAATTTATGTGAATAGTTTTTTAAGAAATGATAAAGAAAAGTTGACTAATTTCAAAGTGTTTCTTGAGTCATTGATTCTTTTAGTATCACCAATGTTAATTAGAATAATTGGAATCACTTTTTAGACTTTTCAAGTTACCTGGCTTGGGAAGTTTGTGCAGTGTTATAGTTTAGCTCCTCTTATAGGGTAAAGGTTTGCTAGTTTAAAACTGTAACCAAACTAACTGGTTAGACAAGATATATCTGAAACACTTAAAGAATTAGAAAATTTGGGAATGTTATTATATAACCTAAACATTTTTGCTGATAATTTTTGTTATTTATAGAACTGATATTTGTGTATTTAACATACTTCTGGAAATATATGCCTTTCTTTAAAACTGTTATCATAACCATGTATTCAATACCATGGCCTATCTATAGAATTGAATATTTTGGACCAGGTTATCTGTGGCACAGTCAAGTGCTGTGTTTGGGGTAAATGCAGTAGCATCTAGTTTTCTACTTTGTCCTATAGAAGGTAGAAACCATGTGTACGTTATGTTTGTCCATAAAAGGAAAATACATACTAATATTAAAATAATTTCTTATGACTGTGAATCATTTATTTTTCCAATAATTGATATTGTACATTCCTGGCACTATTAGGTATGTATGTATGTATGTAACTTTTAAGGGTTTTCAACTCAAAGTTGTAAGTATTTTATTTGATCAGGGCTCTTTAATCTCATTTTAATTTGCTTTGTCTGAATTAACTGTAGTTATTTTATTTATTATTGTATTAACAATATAAAGAAACCAACTGTAATAACATGTACACTAATAAAGAATTGAACATTTGTAGTTGTTGGCCGTGAACCAGTTGGTGAGTTTAAAGCTTAAAATATGGGAGTGATTTGCTGCTATACTTCCTTTGAGAAATAATGAAAAAAGAAATAGACCCTAATAATGATCATGAATTTTAGGGAAAGTACTGAAAAAATATGGAGTCAACTCTAGTTTCTTGTGTTGAGTGAGGAAAGAGTAATCATCTTATTCCCAGCTGAAGACCTCTCATACTCTTAAGGAGGGAGAATCTGCATTTGTAGAGTTCTTAGCAAAATGTGAAATGCTGATGTTTGTGCTTTGTACAAGAATTTGCCTTTGTTTTAGTCATATATGAAAACATGTAATCCCTTAAATCTTACAAGTGTTAATCCAATTCAACAAGAAGGTAAAGTTAAAATGTAGACTTCATTATTTGCCAAAAAAGATTCATGAAAATTTTTATTCAATTACTTTACAAATATTTCAAGAAATTTCATTTGGCTAAAAGGGACACAGAATTTAGTATGGTATAATTTTACCTCTCAAATGCATCTAAAGGAATGCAACTTCATATCATTTTTAAAAATACAGGCTTCTGATCTCCTTTCTTTCTTTTTTTAATATGCAACTAGATGATTTTTGTCTTTGTCTTTTGGGGGAGTAGTATTGGTTTCTTTTACTTGATGTTTTTGGTTTTCTCTGTAATTCATGTTTCTTTTTTGTGTTCAGTGTTTCAAATACAATTTGTATTTAAAAATTTTAAAGTACCAAAACTATAACTGAATACAGTGGGTTGTTTTCTGTTAGGATGTTGATATTATACAATGAAATGTATGAAGTGTTGTCAATTTGATTATTGACACATATAACATGTTTACAAATAAACTGTGGTGTTGATCAAATTACTATGAAAATGTGTTTAATCTCCTGAAAGTTCCAAGTTCCTTTTTAAATACAACCATGCTTTCAGTGCTGTGGCTATTTATATAAAATAATATATACATATATATTATTTTGTAGTAATATATATTATTTTGTAGTAATATATATATATTATTTTGTAGTAATTTCAAATTTACAGAAAAATAGCAAAGATAGTCCAGAGATGTTTCCTATACCCTTTGCTGAGCTTCCCCTAATATAAACTATTGGCACATTTGTTAAAACTCAGAAATTGTTATAACATTGTTACCACACTGTTTTCTAATCTATAGACTTGATTTGACGACTTTCACTAGTCCTTGCACTAATGTCCTTCTGTTTCAGGATCCAGTCCAGGATATCACATTGCGTTTATTTAGTCAACAGTGACTCTGAGTCTCCTCCAGTATGTGACAGTTTCCCAGCCTTTCGTGACCTTAACATTGTAAAGAGTACTACTAAATAAGTTACTTTGTAGGATGTCTTTGACTTGGGTTTATCTGATGTTTTCTCATGATTTGATTGAGGCTATGCTTATGAGAAAGTATATGACAGAGATGATGTGCCCTTCTCGTTAGTGTATCATATCATGGGGTACATGATGTCAGTATGTATCACTGGTGATGTTCCTTCATTGGCTAAGATGGTGTCTGCTCAGTTTTCCCACTGTAAGATACTATTTCCCCTTTTTTTATATTCTGTTCTTCATCAGAGAGTTACTAAGTCAAGCCCTGACTACTGGTCAGTTAGGGGAGGAACATTTAGTTTCATTTCCTGGACAGAGGAGTATCTATTATATTATTTATAATTCTTTTTTAAAGAAAATTCTCCTATTTATTTATTTGATCATTTATATTAATATGGGTTCATGGCTACTTATTTTCTCCTTTAGATTAAAAGCCAATGCTGTTACTTATTTTGTTGTGCAAATTGTTTTAGCTTTGACGATTGGGAACTCTTTGAGATTGGCTTCTAAATCCTTTTGACATGTCTTTTTTTTAAAGACCATATTTTTACTTTCTGATACTACAAGTATTTTCTGAACTCCAGTGCTAGAGTCAACCATTTCTCCAAGGAGTCTTGGTTCTTTTTATTGAAGAGTGGTATTTAGAAACCAAGATGTGGATGTTGGGTGCTTACTACTATTGGAGTGTCATTGCTTCTGGGCCTTCCCAGTTAACTGAGCTAGGGGATATAAATATGCATACTAGCCAGTACATAGGTACACATCTCTCTATTTCTAGATCTACCTGTCTGTGTGTATATTAAGTTAAATAGAATATACTGACAATACAGTACATCCTTACTTAATGTTGTCAGTATGTTCTTGGAGACTCTGACTTATAGTGAAATGATATATAGTAAAACCAGTTCTTTTCCTCATCAACATTATGATGAAATGGCATAGAAGGAAACAATGTTATTTGAAGACCTGCTGTATGAGGACCTGTGGACATTGGTAAGTCAGGACTCACTGTAATCCAGTACCACAGGGTTCATTCTAGCCTTAACTCCTTGCTTATTTTTAACTTTATTCTCTGACAATGGAAAACTTGCCTTCTTTTAGCCACAACTTGTTTAACCCTAGTGTACTTATAAAGAGTTTCAGAATGGTTAATTTATACCTGTGTGAGAAACAAATTGACCAACTAGAATATAGTGTTTAAGTGCTTTTTTTGTTAAGCTGTACAGTATCCAGTCAGAACCCTATTTTTCAAAGTAACTTAGTTTGGCTCCTTTTATTCCTTCATTGAAGTTATGTCATATATTTATAAAACAGATTCCTTTGTCACACTCTGCATTCCATCTAGGATTCTCTGACATCCTAGTTGATTTTATTTATTCATCTAGTAAAACTCACTCTATGTGGGCTTTGACATATACATAGAGTCATGTGTCTATCACACCACAATGATACAGAATAATTTCATCACCCGAAAAAGTCCCCTTTGTACTCAACTACTGCTCCCACTCCCAACCCCCTGACAACCACTTACCTGCTTTCTATTCCTATAATATTGCCTTTACTAGAATGTCAGAGACATGATGGAATCATACCATTTGTAGCTTTTTGGGTCTGGCCTTTCTTGCTTAGTAAAATGTATTTTAAATTCATCTGTGTTATGTGAATTAATAATTCTTTCTGTTGCTAAATACTCCGTTGTGTGAATGTGTCAAGGTTTGTTAATTGTTTAATGATAATATGCAGGTTTTAAATGTAAACAATTTATTTTGCTTTCGTAAATGCCTACTAGTGGGATTACTTAGTCATATAGTAAGTGTATATTTAACTTTATAAGAAACTGCCAAACTGTCTTCCAAAGTGACTCATTTTGCATTCCCACCAGCAATAAATGAAAATTCTTGTTGCAGTGGTATCTCAATGTAACAGTTTAACCATTGTGTGGTTAAAATGTTCATTTCCATAATGAAAAATGATGTTGATAATCTTTTCATATACTTATTTGCCATCCATATATCTTCTTTGGTGAGTTGTCTATTCAAATTATTTGCCTAAATTTTAAAAATTGGGTGGTTTTATTTTTGAGGCTTAAGAGTTGAGTAAATGTTCTGAATACAAGTCTTTTTTATTAAACAAGTGTTTTGCAAATATTTTCTGCCAATCTGGATGGTCTTTTCATTCTTTTAAAAGTGTCTTTTTTAAAAACAAATGTTTTTAGTTTTGATAAATTTATGTCCATTTTCTTCTTTTTTTTTTTTTTTAATAGATTGGGCTTTTGATGTTGTTATATAAAAACTCATCACCAAACCCAAGGTTATGCAGATATTTTTCTGTGTTTTCTACTAAATGTCATACAGTTTTATGTTTTTACATTTAGATCTTTGGTCCATTTTGAACTAAATTTTGTATATGGTGTGAGGTATGTGTGAAGATTTATTTTTGCTTATCCAGTTGATACAGCTCCATTTCTTGAAAAGACTCTCTTTTCTTCATTGAAGGCTTTTACACATTTATCAAAGATAAGTTGACAAATTGATTGAGACAAAGTAGATTATGGTTGCCTGGGGTGGGAATGAGGAGAAAGCACCTTTTTGGAGTTATTGAAATGTTCTAAAATTGGATTGTGGTGATAGTTTTACAATTCTGAATGTACAAAGAATCACTGCCTTATACACTTACATGAATTTTATTGTAGGTAACTTATACTTAGAGCTATTTTTAAAAATCAGTTGACACTTTTTGTGGTTCTATTTCTGCAGTCTCCATTCTGTTCTATTGATCAATATATCTATCCTTTGCTCAGTACCACACTGAAATTGAGTAGTATGAGTCCTCCAGCTTTGATCAGAGTTGATTTTTGGCTCTTTTATTTCCTTTGCCTCTTCTTATAAATTTTACAATCAACTTGTTAATATCTACACAAAAGCTTGCAGGGTTTTAAATCAAATTGTATAGAATCCATAGATCAAATAGGGGGGAGAATTGACATCTTAACAAAGATCTCCATTTATTTTTCTGATTTCTGTGGTTGCTATTTTGTAAGTTTTAGTGTGCATATCGTACATATATTTTGTTAGATTTCTACTTAATTCATTTTTTTGTGCTATGGGAATTTTTTAAAAATTTCAAATTGAAATAATTCATTGCTAGTATATGGGAATATGATTAACTTTTGTATATTTCATTCTTGCTAAACTTATTTATTAGTGAGCTTTTTTGTAGATTCTTAGAGATTTCTACAGAGATAATCATGTCATTTGTGAATAAAGACATTTTTCCTTCCCAATCTGTATGCCTTTTACTTCCTTTTCTTGCCCTATTTCCACTGGCTATGATTACCAGTACAATATTGTATAGGAGTTGTGGGAGCAGACATGCACCATTAAATATGATGTTAGCTGTAGATCTTTTAATAGATAACCTTTAGGTTATGGAAGTCCTCTTCTATTTCAAGTTTGCTCACTTTTTATCAGGAATGGATGTGGATTTTGTCAAATGCATTCACTGTATCCAATGAAATGATCATTTTTTCAATTTAGACTATTAATATGGTGAGTTACATTGATTAATTGTCAAATGTTGAAAATTCTATGAATAATAAATGCCCATAAATTCAGTTTATATGAAAGGAATCCTGTTCCCCAAAAGACACAAACTACCAACACTCACTCAAGAAGAAATAGCTAACCTGAATAAAGCTATTAAAGAAATTGAATTTGTAGTTCAAAACCTTCCAAAAAAGAAAAAACCAGATGGTTTCACCAGCCAGTTCTAACAATATTTAAGAAAGAATTAATACCTATACTTCATAATTTCTTCCAGAAAACAGGAAACACTTCCTATCTCATTTTATAAAGCCAGAATTGCGTTAATACCAAAACCAGACAAAAGGCATTACAATCTCTCTCAGAAAGACTGACATAAAAATTCTCAATATTACTAAATCAAACCCAGCGATTTATAAAAGACATAAAAACATTATTGGGGTTATACAGTAGTATCAATCAGGGCTCCAAATGGAAGCAGATGGCACATTGATATTAGGAAAATTCAAAGGAGAGTTAATTTACAAAGGAATTAACTGCAGTTAGGAATGAGTTACAGAACAAAGATACAAAAAAGAAGCTCAACAACATTAAAAGACGGATAAGATTAATCAAAAAAGCAGTAATCAAAATAGCATTAGGAATTAAAAAGACATAACTATAGATCCAGAAGTTTAATTTAGAGATAATGAGAAAATATGCCAATATATTTAAAAGCCAAGGCAAAATTGACAAACTTATAGAAAGTATAACTTACTAAATTCTAACTCAGGAGGAAACAGAAAGCCTGAGTAATTCTATAACTTGAAGTTAAATCGGTAATTTAAAAATCTCACAAAACACCAGTTCTAGATTTTTAGGCATATTTCACCAAACTTTTAAATAGATATTTTATGTAAATTCTCCCAGAAAATAGAAAAAAGAGGAAATACTCTCAATGCTTCTATGAAGCTATTTTAATCTTGAGGCCCAAATC